TAAAACTTTTTCAATATTGACTTTTCAGTCAAAAAGAGCTATTATAGCTACAAAAATCATTTTACGTCAATGTCTTGAAGAAAGTGTCCTAATTTTAGAAAGTAGGTCTCAAAAATGTTACACTTATCATCCAGATACTACAACAATGACAATACCAAAGGTTATTTCGTACTATTGAACAAATTTCTATAAAATCAACAATGTAACCTACAGAAGATCGACGAGTCCATGATGCAAATAAAGCTAGAATGATTTCAAATAATTTTATTATGAAAATTAAAAAAAGAACAAAATGTTTCAAGCTAAATGTCCTCTACAAAAACCTGCATAAACTACTAGTCTGGTGGCACTGCTGTATAAACTTCTTATGCTGCCCCAAAAAATTAGAGTGATAGTGATTAATTACCACAACAAAAAAATGTTTGCTGTTGTTTTCCTAGATGTTTTGGGTTGCAGGACCCTGATTCAGCTTTCTGTGGTTTGTACTCTTCTCCTGAAGCCGAGCCAAGTCTTTTAGTCAGGCAGTTTGCAGGTTCCACCTCCGAGTTACTGCTGGCCTCTCAGCAATGGAGCCTGGATTGCCTGGCAACATAATCTGTTTCTTTGACTTTATTTACACAGGTTGCATCATCCTAGGCATTTTCTGAGCAATATTTATTCAGTTTATTAAATTAGCACTAATTCAAAACAAATTGAATACCTGTGCAGTTTGAAAACCAATGGGTCCAAGTCGTTTCAAGGAATTTATAGATAAAGAATGTACAACCTGCTCATCTAAAGAGTCAAAATTAAATAATTAATTTTGACTCTAATTAATTAATGGAATCCTAATAATATTAGTGTTTTTTAAATTAAATTGATAAAAAGGTGGCTTGGATGACTGTGTCAATTAGAGCAACATCTCATTCTGACAAAGCTCCTGACGACTGTCCCGTAAAGGAAAACAAATTATGTAAACATCTTACCTTTTAGAGACTTAGAGGGTCTTCAAAATGGAAAAGGAAATTTTGATTTATTAAGCTTATTTCTTGTAATAATTTAGGAGAAATGGTTTATCAAATGTTCTAAAAAATATGATGATCAGGATGCTGAAGTCTTAAGAGGCGATGAACAAATAACAAGGATTTTGGTGTTCTATTGAACGAGAGTAACAAATGATGATAAAACCGAATGTGTGTATGTATATGAAAATTCACTCACTCTTGAGTGATTCTGAATCTCCTGAGAGGCAACCAGGAGCCTGGAGTGGTTCTAGTTAGCTATTCTCTCAGAAACTACATGAAAGTATGGGGTTTTCTTTCATACTCTGTTTGCTGTGAAAGTCAGAGGAAGCAAGGATCCAAAAGGTAAAAGGTAATATAGGGGACGGATTAAAGCAAGCAGTGAAAAGAGTAAGAGCTTGAACAGAATCGGTTTACTTGGCTGTTCCCTCAAGGCAAACTCAGGAAACCAGTTTCATCCACAAACCCCCAACGCGCCCCTCTCAGACACCCGTGCCATCCCAGCCCACCACCTTCCCTGAATGTGCGGCCTATTTTCCCTGTCAAGGTGGCGTCCCAGATTCAAACTTCCAGCAGATGAGTAAAACAGTGAGGCAGAGATTGCATCAAGGAGGATGAAGGGAATGGGGGTGTCACTGGAGTCCTCAAAATCAGCCGACTTCTTCTTCACTAATACTGTAGAGTCGTGTTCATTTCTTATATTAAATACTTTCCTACTTAAAGACCTGTGGGGAAATAGAAAAAGAGGGACTGTGTTATTGTTTTGACTTTAAAGCACTAACTCACTCAAACAAATTTTAAGCTCATCACTTGAGGACTTTGCTTGCCTGCACAGATGCTTTTTCTCTTACGTAGTTATTCCTGTGTGTATTTGTGTGCTTCTGTTTGCGTTATTAATTAACCAGCAGCGTAGGTGTCGAACCAAAGGAGAATTCACCCGGGTACAATTTTGACTTCTCAGAGCAAATTAAATTACGAGCGTGGCACTCTATGAAACAGCTGCATGTAGCTGAAGGCGTGCAGAGCACATGGCCCCTTATTATGGAGCAACAGTTCCCTAATGCTGCGCTGAATGCCTCAGTTCATTCAGCACGTCTTTTCACAGACAAGTGAATTTGTAACTTTTGTGCGATTGCGCTTGAGGTTTCCATGCGGTAAAATGTCATCAGTTTGCCCTACTCTGTTGTTTCGCATTGATTTATGCGGTGTGTCATAACAACACAGTGTTTTGCTTTTTTTGTGTGTGTGCGTGTGTGTGTGTGCGCGTACACATAAAGGAGTCAGTCCCTTAGCTGCCATATGCTGAGGATGAAATTATTTCCAGGCTCCAGTTTATTAAACTCAGAAATGTTATGAGTGCTCCACTAAGGCGTTGGCTCTTCAATAATCTCTAAATTGAATCATCTTGATGAGCACAAGCTTCAACAGACTTGCACTCAGGTCAAGTCAACGCATGCTTTCCTTCTAACAGTTCAAATAGCACAAGGATTCTCTTCAACATGTAAAAATCCAATTAGCCACCCTTTTTTTTCTGTCACTCTTATCACTCCCAGTCCCACTTGCACTGATTGTATTAAAAATTTAAGCGCTCTCCTTTGGGTGGGGGCCGTGAGGTGGTTGTGATATATTGGAAACCCTGCAGCATCAACATAAAGCGCTTAAATAATTCATGGGTATTTCCTAGTGAAGATACAACATGAACTGTAGCACTTAGGCCTGTAGTGCTGTGATGTTTTGATGTTTTTTTTTCTCAAATGGATGGATGATAACCCATCCATCCATTTTCGTAGCCCTCAGGAGTTAGGGGTCGGGTGCCGGTGCCAGTCTGTGTACAGTTCGCCAGTCTGTTGCAGGGCAACACAGATTCAGACCCATACACATACACACACACACACACACACACACACACACACACACACACACACACACACACACACACAGGGAGAATTAACAGTCATGCTTTGTGGGAGGAAGCTGGAGTACCCGGGTACAGGGGGAACATGCACAGGCAAAAAGACCCAGGGCCTTCTTGCTGCAAGGCAACAGTGCTACCAACTGCGTCACTGTGCAGCACTTGGGATGATAACCCTCAGTTAAAAATAAGATTTAATTGATTTGTGATATTTGCACAGGAATTTAAAACAAAAATCTATAAGATGACCTAATTATTTTTATTTCATATAGTTAAAATATTTATTTAGCAGAATAATATACACTTTGATGTAGAATAATAACAAGCTGGAGCTGAAAGTAGCCAGGCAATTTGTCGAGCTAACTGTTCGCGTAGCCAAGCTGCAGTCAGCTGCAAAACAAACAACTTATAGATTTACTAGTGAGGTTTTAAAACAGCATTGCTTTACTAAAAAAATGGGTGGAGCTCCTTTAGCTTCTATATTATGGCTTTAATTCAATTAGAAATATTTCTTAGGGGCCTAAATATTTTTTTCTTGTGAGTAAGGGAAAAGTGTGGTAACCTTTTTTCAGCCAGATCACTATCAGTGTATGGAAAGAAGAAGCAGAGTACTGTGTTACTGAGTATTCAGGACAACTTGAGGAAAAGAAAATCTATTTTTTTTAAACAAATGTGATCATATTTATTGTTGCTAAAATTTTAATAAATATATTAATTCAGCAAACTTTAGATTAAATTATTATGTTCTTAGATCCTTCATAGAAAATGCATAAACCCTGGAAATTCAACATGAATTCAGGAATAAACAGTTGAAACAGTGAAACATTCAAACCAAGGAATAGTAACTCTGTACGTTTGTAGAACATGGATTACTGTTTGCCTTCATCAGCTGACATGTTCACTGGAAATAACTTCTACATTTTTGTTTTTATAGCTGCTGTCTGTGACCTATTACCTACTGAGATGAGACAGTTTTTCCCTAGTGGGTTAATTAGGTATCAAAAAATTTCACCCCAAGAGCTAAAACAGAGCATGTACTACACTGAAAGCTATTGTTATCCTATTACCCACATAGTGGACGGCTTATGCTGTCCACTATGTACCCAGAGCATTTGCATTTATTACCACCAAATGTGCCCCCTGCTTCTGAACCAGCCTCCACAGTGTGATTAAAGAATGGTTAATAATTCAGTGAATTTGGAAGGAGCACAGCAAGGATTTTAGTCGCCTTCACAGCTGCATGCGGTCTGCCAGTGACAGATGGCTCAAACCACATGGAGAATTTGGTGCCAGCATCCTCCTCTATAGCACTGGACATTGTGTCCATTCAAATTGTGTCCAGCGCTATAGCGGTGAGGCCTCTTTTCCCTCTTTTTTATCCAGTCATTGGTTGGGTGCTATAAAGGAATTCACAGATGTGGAAAGAAAGAAAAAAGTTCTTAATTGAAAACCTCGACTTGTATTTTAAACAGTTACATGCTGCATGGCTTGGTCTGTCTCCTGCCTGGAAGTGGTCTGTTGACTAACCATGTTGTCATGATACTAGTCCATTGTCCAGGACTTTGATTAAAAAGACTAACTTTGTAAACAAGTAATAAATAGTTCCTGAACTAGGTTAAAATGCAGCTGTACACACTTACTAAACCAATAATAGAAACTGGAGAGATAAATTGTTTCAATTGATTGAAAGAGTCCCTGAAATTGAAGGGAATTGTTAAAAAATTGTCTAATATATTAGACAGGTACATCTGACAAACATGCCTGTCTAATTACTTATTTTTTGCACATGCAAAATTATTAATTATTTATTAACTCAAGAATAGTTTAATTATCGTGTACACACAATAAATAAATACCACTTTCTTCTGAATTATGTCCCTTGTTTAATTTCCACTGGACTTTTCTGTGTTGCAAAAATGCAATGTATTGTAAGATATAAATTCATGTCTTTGACTGTAGATGGACAACATTATGTTAATCATCTTTCAAACTATGTCTGTAGTTTGATTGGTTATAGTCAAAAACCTTATAAAGCTCTGAAAGAGAACTGATCAATTTCCGGGTGATCTGTCATTTTGTCAAATCAGAGTTGCCAGAAAACTGGACAGACACAAAGGAGACTCTGCTGGAAGGGATGGTGTTCAATGTGAAGTACCTTGGTATGACTCTCGTGGGACAACCTAAAGGAGCGGAAATGGCTTCAGCTGCTATTCGAAGAATTGTTGCAACGGTGAGTTTCTGCCTGTTTGAATTTCAAAGATAAAAACTAATGACTGCATTGCTTTTTTTAGACTCAGTTTTTTGTTTTTCTTTTGTGACTGAAATTTCAATAAATTTTAAAGTAGGGAGGTTTTGGACCTGGGACTCAGGATTAAGCCACAGAACTGGGACATTAGTCAAATCAGGCAAAGCAGATGGTGGCTTTAGCGGTTTGATATCGCAGGTATTTACAAGAACCAAAGGGACTTCTGTGTAACCTGATTTTAATATTAAAAGTCACACAAATGCAGTACTAACAGAGGTAGGGCAGCACATGAGGGTTATAATGAACATAAAAGGAAATAAGGGTAATGTTTAAATAGAAAATGTGTGCTGTTCACTGGGATGCTCAAGGGCAATTTCTTATCTCTGTAGTTTGATAAGGAGTTAAAAGGGAATAATATCACTGTATAATTTTATGTTATGGGCTTAACTCTATCATCTTAAGTCTGTCAACAATACATGATAAAAAGCAGATGTAAAAGTTAAATAAAATGCAAAATCTCAGTGCATGGACATAATCAGACTACCATGAAGGATTAGCTCACAGCCATGGTGGCTATGCCCACAGCACTCTCCAATCCTCTTTTGAGTGCTGAAACTCATCAGTGAGATTTAACTTGAACCACTGTTGATCTTGGCTTGATATGAAAAATTGGAAATTCCAACTATTCAGTTGAATTCAAGATATAATTGCAGCGCAATCCGTAACAAATGCTGTGCCAGGGGTATTTGGTCTCTGTTTTAAGGTATTCATTTGTCACGGGTATAAAATAATTCATAAGGATAATCTTAGTTGATGAGTTCTATTTGTTTAAACAAGCCAAATAAAATACATGGATCCTATTAACTGGAAACCATGAATAATTATGTGCTGCCTTGTAATGGGTTAGTTATTTTGCTGGAAGTTTTAATATTCACAATATTTTATTTGCTATCACAAGATTCATGAAGAGAATGCTGTTTCTCTTAGGATTAATTCAATGTTTTTTATTTGAGGTCGCAGACGGCTGGATACAGATGATCCATGCAATGCTTCTGGCCTTCAAGCCATATGATACTCATGTCTACTGTAGAGTATGCCCAGAAATAACATGCATACAATGCCTAATATTGCGGTACCCTGCGTTTGTACTAATTGGCCTCAAATGTGAATGGAAAAAAAAATCTTTTGAATGCTTCAGAAATGAACAGACCTCTGAAATAAAGAATGGAAGGAATGTCAGATTCAACACTTCAGATTCTAATTTGAAATCTGATATGATGCATGTATTACCAACAGGAAACGGCTTTAAATTCCCAACCAGGCTTTCCTTTACCAATTCAAAATGTTATCAAAATGCTAAGAACTGCTTTCAAAATCACTAGCACTTGACTGACTTATTAATGCAAACAGGCATTTAAATTTTATTCATATTTCCACCTGCTAATTCCTTCGTGACCATGCACACAATCCTGACCACAATATTCATTTCATAGCACCTAGAATAAATTGCTCTTATTTTTTCAAAAGCTTTATTTATTTATTTTTTCTCAAACAAACAGCTCTGCTCCGGCAGTCTAATCACACCTCCTCTGCTTCTCAAGTAGAGCTTGCATCAAGCCTAATGGCAGGATTAAAATTCAGATGATTTTGCACCAAAAAAAAAAGAAAAGTTGGTTATGTCTTTGTCCGTTCCCTTGGAAACCAGTCCACCTGAACTGGAGAGCAGAAAACATTCGGGACGTTTCCATTTGCTCCGCGCTTCATTCAGACGCGATGAGACAAGACAGCGGGACCAAACGTACAGAAAGAGTCTGAACTTGGCATATCTCAGGCTGACAGATTGATTTTTGCCTGGTGGCATGACACTTGTAACGTGGCAGCAGAAATTGTCCGTGTTTCTACATGAACAAGCTCCAGCAGCACAGTCAGCTAATTCAGCCCTCCCCTCATTTTGACTCTTATATATATATATATATATCTATATCTATATATATATATCTATATCTATCTATATATATATATATATATATATATATATATATATATATATATATATATATATATATATATGTTGGTCCCTCTCAGCTTGCCATGACACTATTAATTGTCCTTGAGGAGACCTAGTTTCTGCTTGAGTAAAGATACCACTACACAAACCCCTCACATGGTTGATAGATGTGAAACCAGTTGATTGAAAATTTTATTTTCCTCTTTATTTCTTGGTTGTTTTTTTTTCCCTTTCTCATTGCTGTTTTCCTCCTCAGTCCCTCCTGTGACCGTGCAGCTGTCATTGTTTAAGTGAGGCTCTAAACTGCTCTTGTCTGCGTTTTAATTGTGCGGTAAAGAGGTCGGTCACTGTCAGTGTCAACAGGCGCTCTCAGAGTCTACAAGCTCAGCACTACCACTGATTTTGCTGAAAGCCCAGATGGTGCAGAGCAGCAGGGGGAGTCAGTGGCTGCCAGCCCGACCTGGAGAGCTCACTCTGGGCATCACATTGCGCCATTCCTCCCCCCATTCTGTTGCCTTTTATACATTCCACTGCATGTTTCTGGGGCACAGCAAGTCGCTTGCCTTTGCTCAGAAGTAAATCATCACAATGTTGTGTTTTTCAGTGTTTATTCTCACATTTTGATCACTTTTGATTTCAGTCAATCTGACAGAGTAGTTCTTTGTTTAACCGAAGTCAGGGTTTCTCATTCTGATCTTTGTGTGTGTTGTGTTCTCTGTCACACCCACAGGCCAGAGCCAGTGCCAAGAAGTTTCGGAAAGTTACCCTGACAGTTTCTCCAAAGGGCATTATCATCACAGACACAGAGACTGCAGATCTAGTAGAAAATGTCTCTATATACAGGTACATTTCACCCACAAAATAAACATGACAAAGCAGATGCTAACAAATACGTAAAGGACCTTTGAAATTTGTTCTCACTTTAAGTGTTTTCATCATCTGTCATTTTTTAACTGCAGACCTCCAGGTTTTATAGGGTCTTGGCAATAAAAATAAGTACATAACTGTGAAGTGGAAAGATAATTAAATGTAATTTTGGAAATTTAACGTTTTGACTGAGACACGAATCTCTATACGTTTTGCATTACTGACTGAGTTTGAACTATTTTTGCAAAGAACAATGGAGGAAAAATGCTGATAACAAAACCTGGAAAACATATATAGAAAGACATAATAGATACAAGTGTGTGCCACAAATTTTATATTTTCACTCATAAAATTGCAAAACTACATACATTTTCTTTTACTTCAGCATTACTACTATTTTCTGTAGATCTGCAATATAAAATAGAAAAAAACCCCACTGACTTTGCATCTGTAATATGTGTGTAAATGAAAAGTGGTTCCTGGGTTGAAGATTCTTCTGCAAGGCATTGCAACAGCTTTTTGACTCATTACAGAAATGGTCCCCGAAGTTTGAATCATTTCAAATTCAAGTTCAGTTTTTTCAAAATGTATCTAGAATGTCATTTAGTTGATCCAAGACCTGAACAAAGCAACATTTTAAAACAAGGTTGACGCAAAAGATATTTGGACTCTGTTTAGCTGAATTCTCGCTGATTGAAGACAGATAATGTGTGTGCATGTAAATGGATACAGTCAGTGTGTATGCGTACACCTTATCCGGTGTGCCACAGCCCTGTCCAGGTGTAATGACTTGGCTCCTTATCTCCCTCCTTCCGATTTTTGTATATATCATAACGATATATGGGCACACTCTGAAACCAGGAAACAGGCCACACACAATGCCTCGGCCTACAGAGGATGGATTTATCCTCGTTTATAAGACCCCACCCCCATCGCCCTGAAAGCCCCCCTTTACTCCTCTGCCTTGTATCTTTATTTTTTGCACATAAACCGCTTGTGGGAAGACAGCCAGTGGAGGGTGAAAGGGGTGAGTGTAGAGATAAGAGAGGATCAAATCAAGACTGTTTACAGTGAACAGCAACTCGAAAGAAAACACTTAAGCTGTGTGTATCCAAGTTTAGTTTCTAGATAGCACTGTTCTATTTGTACGTGTGAATATACAACTTAAACATTTGGTATTTTTGTATTTGTTGTGTTAATTTTATATGTTCTCATCCTGTGATTTGAGTTGTTTCCCTTGGGGAGCAGCTTAGCAGTAGAGTAGAAAACAGACATCAATGCATTGTGCACTGCACTGGAAACAAGACCCCTACACCCAATACACCTCCATCCACACATACTATCCCTTAAATACATTTGTTAAAGGTTGCAGCCTTTGTATTTGTTCTTGACAGCATGTACTAATAGTGCACTATATATCCTGGTTGAGCCTTGTTTCAAAACTAATCTTTCTCTGATATTAACCTTTATTTGTTGATTTGAAACACAAGAAATGGACACAAGAAATGGACAAAGATCTTTTCACGTCACAGCGGCTCTTTAGCTTTAACGTGTTTGATGCTATCTTTAACATGAGTTTTATTGTTGCACATGCAGTGTTGCACATGCAATTCGCTCAGTCAGAAAAATCTGATCCGCGCTTTTGACGATCGCAGGGGAACCTCGGGAACCCCTGTGGACTGTAACAGAGGTAACCGGCTACTCAGTCAAGCATATGATGAAACGGGCACGAAACCATAAAATTTTTGCTTATCGTCAACAAGGATAAGGACAAGTGCACAACTGCATCATTAAACCTTGGTTAAAATAGCAACAATTGTGTTGTGAATAGGTGTTGTTTTTATAAATATTGGAGCTAACCTGCTGTGTAAAGTTGTGATATATATGTGTTAAAAATGGATAAGTATAAATTACAAGAAATAATAATCTGCATCATTACTGGTGTGACGTGTGTAATATTAGGATGCAAATACATGTTTTTTTTTATGTTTGAAGTTAAAAGGGTGTAAAAGAACAGACATTTTGCTCTGTGGAATGGAAGCAGTGATAAATATTACTAGAGCTTGCAAAGATTTGATCTCCTTTTCCAAGTGGAGATGTGGGAGTTTGATCAATGCAGCAGCTTGCTGGATCAGCTAAAGACGGCCTGGTTTGATTCTGAGTATTGACCACTTTGTGAGGCTTTTATTTACTGTGAGGAGCCTAATCTATATCCAGATATTGAAAGCTAATACAGTTCTCAGTGGTCCTGCTTCAAATAAAAACATCCTTCATTTAAAAGCCGACACTGATCCTCCCAGTGAGAGGAACATTGTGAGGGTGTTTGCAGCCTCCATCTGGTCATGTGTTAATCATTCATATTCCCATGAGAGCTCTCAGTGACCCACCAGCATATCAATCAGTGAAACAGGCGGGTCTCAGGAAAAAAAAAACAAAAAACAAAACGCAACCCAGCTGAAATGCTGACTGACAGCCCACCTTTTAATGATGCACATTGCTCTGACTCACTGTCTGTCAGATATCTGCACCGGAGCTACAGAATATGACTGCGCTTATGAACATTCACAGAAACAATTTTCTCTTTTGCTTTTGTTTCATAGACAGTTGCCTTTTAGAATTTTTCAAAACTGTTTCCACATTGACTTGAAACTAAAAGAGAAGTAGTTAATTTCTGCATTCACAGCAGGTGGACGTTTTTTGGCTTTGATGTCTGACTTTCTATTGAGGCTTTGTTCTGTAAATATTTTAATATTTTCAATGCTATTCACTTTCTGCCTCACACACGCCGGTGCTCTACACTGAGAAAAGATCAAAGCCTTGCAGTCCAGAGGAGCCTGTCAGAGATATGATGCAGACTGACAGCTCAGCTTCTGTTGTTCAGACCCAGTGTGATGCTGTCAATAATTTTTTTTTAGATTAGATTGTTATTTCAAGCTCAAGGACACCGATGCCTTTCATGTTGTCACAACAGTGCCTGTTATTTATTGTTTTTTCAACCTTATGAAATGTATATTTATTTAAGCTGTTTTTGATGACTGATTTGTCTGCAGGATAGGATTAGATGTTCTGATAAGGATTAATATTTTGCATATTCAAAAGTTATTAAACTTATGATGCTTGCCACACACAATGAAATTTGTGTAACACCTTCTAAGCTCATACCACTGGCTTAATAATAATGTTATTTACATCCAAGGTACATAATGCAGAAAATGAGAAGGTTCACTCATCTCAGCATACCGACTGCTTGATGTAAGCTGTCTGATAGATAGACTCACCTGTTCTGTGAATATAGCAGTTAACTCTTGTTTGTGATTTTTCAGTGACTGTGCTTACAGCTTTGAACTTGTATTCAACGATTAACACACAAGTTTTTATTCAGTATGGAAAGACAAAACTATGTGTCCGTCCTGCATTTCAGGGGCATACACATATGCAGGTTCAAGCAAATATTGTTTACATTCTAAATTGGCCAGAATTTTTGTCCAAGCTTTGTTGAGTGATTAAACTTGGACAACAATACAAAATATACTGATTTTGAATTGTTTGACAAAATATTTATAGTCAAGCTCCACCTCCACCTCAAGAATACATTTAGATGATCAGAATAGACAGCTGACTGTTTAAAACCGTTTGGAAAAGTGCATTTGAACAGGTTGCATTTCTTTTGCCATGCATCCCACTGCTGGAAATGGAATAGCATAATGTTTGACAAAATCAAAATTTTTTTCTTCATGCTTAGATCCAGGGAAAACACTGTTTTAAATGCACCAACATGCGTGGTAGGATAAGAAGCCACGCGACAGCAACTTAGGAAATCAAGGCACAGGAACAGCAAATATGTTTTGTCGCCTGCACTCCAGTACAAGTGCTTCCCTTCAAAATTGTTGTGGTTTTAAAAGAAAAAAAATCTGCAACAACCACTCAAACACTTTTTGATCTGAGCTCAGAGCAGTTAACCTGACAGACATGTATGTGCGCTGTTTACAGTGTCAACTTGTTCAAGTCTGTTGATAATGTCCACAGACGAACAGAAAAAGCCTGTCAACTCTGCCACAAAAGGCACAAGGTTTCTGTTCATATTGTAATAGAAGTGTGAAAAAGCGCTTTCTGTGCCATTGTAAGTTACTTTTCTAAACCATGACTAAATTAGAACCTATTTTTGTGTTTGAACATTATTCTGGTAAAGCAGCATATTCAAAAAAACTTGTAACCTAGTTCCTATTTTGACCACCTTCTGACACATTATTTTTCTGATGTTTTTTTAGTTTTTACGTTCCTATAAAAATACTAAAGAGTGCAATAAAAAAAAGAAGCTTAATTTTATTGTAGACCCAGAAAACATGCAAACTCCACTCAGAAAAACTCAGGAATTGAACCCAGAAGCTTCTTGCTGTATGGCAACAGTTCTACCGACTGCGCCACCATGCAGCCATGCAGCCCTCTTAAAAGAACTTACTAAGTCATAAAAAGCCAAGATCAAATGAGAGGCAGCTATAAAATAGACTCAAGTGTATTTATTTTATGACAGCTTGAAAGCTAAAACAACATCCTACGTAAATAACACGACTGACAGTTCACAAGTTTCATATTGGACACTGTATTAATAATTTGATTGTTAATCATTTTTAGCAAGTAATTTCTTCCCAAAAAACACAAATTTTTACCAACATTTACATTTTTGGCTTCTTTTAGTAATAAGGCTTGATTATTACATCATTCTGTTTTAACTGTTCACAGAACAATAAACTTATAATAAAATGTTGCACATGTTGCCTTGTTTGCCCCTCGGCTGCATTCCTTGATTGGCAAAAAATACAAACTCCAAACCTAATAGCAATTTAACAGAACACAGGTCAATGTTTAACTATTTTAATAGTTATATTTCTGTTGAGCAGAAATATAGCAGTTGCTACGATCATGCTTATTTTTCAGCCTTAAATAGGTCAAACCTCTCAGTATTTTCTCTATGCATTTTTTACGCAATTACAGCCCAAATATAAGTTGGAGCGTGGGGAGAGCCATGTGTCCTGGGCATTGCAATGTGGGTCATGCAGCAGTGTTGCAAGCCGGCAAACAAAATAAGAGGGAGTGATGCGAGCACTGCTGATTTTATGCTCATTAGTTGATCTTAAAATTACTTCGTTCTTTTCTGCCCTCCCTCTCCTCTTTGAAGTTTGACTGGAAATAAGTGTCAGACATCCAGATATTCATCTTGCACATAGTTTACAAGTTACTATAACAATGGTGTTTAAGGAGTGTCGCAGCTGTTTAAAGGAGCAAGCATGAAGCATGCTGCATGTCCTGATGACACTTGTACATAGAGACATATGGTGACTCAAGATCAAGACTGCTTCTGATTAAAATCTGACACAGCAAATTTGGCGGTCATTTTTCTAAGTTAAACCGCAGATACTTCAGTAAGAGGTTAAAACAATTGGATGAAATTTATTTTGATTCTTTTCCAATAATTTGTGAAAATAAACTGAATTGTTAAGACTATGCTAGATTCCAAATAAAGTGAAACAGGTTTACATATAAGTTTTTTTTTTCCAGTGTGGAACCAGTAACAACAGGGATTTTTTGTTCGGCATTGAAATTTAGGGATAGTTGAATCAAAGCTTATATTCTTCATTTGAGAAACTTATTTTGTGGTTAATATGATTAATAATAGGTTGGACTATATTGTTTGTCATGCTAAGTTTTTAATACATTAATTTTGTCACTCAACAACCTCATTCTATCTTTACTATTCAATCATCTGTGTTCAAAAAGCATATAATAGACACTTTTATAAGACAGAGAAATTGGAGTTATTTTCCAACCCAGTAAAAATGTGTATTCAGTAGCTAAGATAGAAATATAACTTGCATAAAAAAATATCTGTATAATTCAAACAAATTTGAACTGTAATTTCTTGGTGGGAACAAATTTCAAATAAATCAGGCAAATAAAAATGTGCTTTTCAGAAACTTTCTCTTTTGCACAGTTAATTATTCAGTCGACTATTTAAATGTTCTGACATTACTCCTAAAATAATTTTAAAAGCACATGTGTATTGCTGTTGTTGATTAACATTGACTTTTTTATTATGGATCAGTTTGCTCATTCTTGTCTTAATCTGAGATTAATTTACATATTTGTGCTAATTATTTGTTAAAGACAGAAAATGTAAAGGTTAGGCCACGGACTCGTCTCTGGATTCTTGACCTCGGACTTGACTCAAGATTTCATGTGCAAAATATTGAGACTAACTTAAGACTTGGTTTCTTCTCTGCCTCTACAGTAGATGCATAGAAAGTTTCTAAACAAGCTAAATTTAGTATGCCTTCTTATCCCTGCTTTCTTTGTGTTCTCCTGCACCACTGCCAGCTGTTGGTCCTTATCAACAAAATAGTTGTAAACATTTGTCTCATTCTGGGATGGATCTGCAAAACGTTTGTGCACCATGGCTAGTTTAAATTTAGTTTCAAGAGTGTCACTTAAACTGAATTTATGAAAGTTTGTTTGCAATATTTACATGTAAAACCCTGACTACTATTCGATGGAAAGATTCCTCTCTGGACTAGCAAATAATTTCTGATATAATACTGCAGTATTACTAGATTGCAGTAACATATTTTTTCCTCTTTCATTTTCCTGTCCTGTCTTCCAGAATCTCATACTGCACCGCAGATAAAGCTCAGGACAAGGTCTTCGCTTACGTTTCCCAAAGCCAGTTCAATGAGACTCTTGAGTGTCATGCATTCCTCTGCCAAAAAAGAAAAATTGTAAGTGTGCAAATCCTCCAACCACCTGTATATACCAACAGTTATGAAGATGGTTTTCAGCAGCAGGCTAGTGGATATTAATCTTAGTCTGGAGATTTAGTTCTGATGAAGATGAAGAGCCACAGAACTGAGGAACAGGACTCTGGTTGTTGTGTGGTGCCATCTTGTGGCGGCCCTATTAATGCTATTTTGAATTTTGATGAGTTTTTATTGTCAATATTGACTCATTCAAAGCATCTGTTATGTTAAATATTTTTGTGTATTTTTATTTTTTTCTTTGCAATGAAAAATTCTCTATTATATTATAGATGGTTTAATTTATTTATTTTACATTTTTATGCTCCACTGCCCATCCTTATACAAACCTAAATTGTGACCTCTTTCAAACTTTATCAAGTTAAAAATGTGCCGCCTAATACACCTGTGGGACATCTTCTCTGCCTCCTCACCACTTACACTGACTTTCATATGCCTGATAACTCCAGACGTTGATGCCAGCTTCTTCCAGATCATTTGCAAAGCCTCTGCTGCCAAACTGTCTTCCAATTGGACAGTTCCATCTGGTTGTCAAATGTATTTGTAGTAGCATCTGTTACAAAAATGTATCTCAACTTACTATACTAGGATTCTTGTCCTAGGGGTGCTGTTATGTTCTTTAAAACCAAAACAGAAACATCTGTTTCTTTTCAATAGCCAAATATTGTTTTGGCTATTGAAAGAAACACTCACTGTTTTTCATTGCTTTAATGCCTTTCTTTCTCTCTTCCAGGCTCAGGCTGTGACCTTAACAGTAGCTCAGGCATTTAAAGTAGCATTAGATCTTTGGGAAATTGCTCAGGAAGGTGAGTCAATGTCAATCTGAAAATAAAAGAAATACATCTTAATTTTTGTGGTTAAACATTATTTAAACAACAACAAAAACAACTCTGGTTGATCTTTGGCACATTTCAAATAAAATTATGATAAAATTGTAGCTTTCCATTTAGGATTCTGAGAATAAGCTTTCTGTGTGCAGAGAAGAACAAGAAGGCCAAGAGCTGCTGCTCCTGTGGAGCCAATGATGGACAGATGGTAACAACAGAGATGCAGTGTGTTCCGGCAGGTGAGATCATTTTTTTCTATACGTCCCCCTTACATGTATTCCTGCACGACAAATTGGGCTCTGCAGTAACAAGACAAGATACTATCAGCAAGACACGCCAGAAGGTTTAGGAGATTACAGTTGCAAGGACACATGACTTCTTATTGTCTAAGAAACTTTTATTGGAACTTTAACTTGGGTTAGCAATTCTTTATCCCACTGCACATTTGGATAACAAGTGTCTAGTTTGCACAGGCATCTCCCTACTCTCTTTCCATTTGAGCTGAAGGCGGTTGTAGTAAAACCAGATCTTCCAATATTTTCACATATTGGAAGATTTTTTGCTTCTTTGCAGTGAGCTATACTTCCTTCACTGACCTTTACAGGTTATTATGTGGCGACTATAATGAGGCCTGTGAATATGTAGTTGTCGACCTGCACAAATTTAACTGTCACTCCTCACATTCAGAAAAACAAATCACCCTAATTATGAATAAACGTTGGTCTTAAAGGCTTGCAGCACTTTCTGAGTTTGTACTGGCCTTGACATTTATAGGTCAAAATGTTCTTGGCGCCTCAGAGGGTCAAAAAATCCTCACCACTTAATTGTTCATTTTTTAGCTCCAGCCTGAAGTTGTCAAATTAAATGTTTCTCTCTTAAAAAACTTAGCAGTTTAAAGCCTTAAAGTAAGTTTATGTACAGGCTTGGTGAACATATGGATTGCTATCACATATATATATATATATATATATATATATATATATATATATATATATATATATATATATATATATATATATATATATATATATATATATATATATATATATATGCTTATTCAAATTTGTTCCCTCGTCTGATTCTAACTGTCCTCTCTGTATCTCCGTCAGCCTCCCATTCACACCTGCAGTCCCCATCACATTCATCAGTGCATAAGCCCACCGTGATGGAGGAAAAGCCCCGGAGGCCCTTCTTCTCCACTTCTCTTAGCTCGCCATCGCCTCGCAGTAACCCCACCAGGAGACGTCAGATTAAACATGACTCATGGGTAGGTGACCAGCTTAACTCCCCTAAAGGGAAGCAACAAGCAATTCCTGAAACTTTTCTTTCACTGTCAGAACATAAGGGAACATGTTTTACTGTCACGATTAAAGTAGTTACTAATCCAAAATGTTTGTTCACATGTCTAACAATCTGAATACAATTTTCAAGTCTGCATAGCAAAATCATACCCTCTCAAGCAAAAGTAGGTTTAGGCTTGGAGTTGGTATTTAGATGTCATCTTTTTTGTGTTCAAGTTTCTGACTTGAGAAAACTGCTGATTGATTTAACTGAGCCAAAATTTTAATTATCCTAAGCACTGCTGTGTATTTTACTGTAGGGAACGTAAGCAGGAAATCAGTAAAAGTGGAGATTAAAGTAGAGAAAATGGCAATGTTGGCCTTAGGACTTAAAGGGGGTTTAATTTCTTCATTCAGTTGCAAATGTTTAACTCTAGATGTCACTGTGATTCTTAAAATATCTTCGCTTCCTCTTGGAACATTTTTGCCTAGTGAGGAAAAAGCTGGTTTAGTGGAGATGCTGGATTATGACTTGCAGGACTTTATGTTTGTATTGATCTACTTTGTTGTGCCTCAACAGGATGTGGAGGATGGATTCGATGATGTTTTCTCAAGGTAACATTTCCTTTACGACTGCAGATTTTGTGAGAATATTCACCAACCTGAACAAAGGATTTGAATTTTTAGGATGAACAATATATTTAGACATTCCAACAAAAACACCTAAATCTGTCATTTATGAAAAAGTATCAAAGAACATTGAAGAGTTAAAGCAAAAATCCTCAACATGGCTCAAACATCTCTTCTGAAAGACTAAAAACCTGAATCTGACTCAGATGTCAATTTAATTCTGTTTAATGTTGCATGTTCCACATTTGATAAGATAAAGAGTCTGAACATATAATTTTACTATCACAGTGGTAAAATATTATTTATTGCATAAAAGCAGCAGTACAAACACTTAAGAGTTTCCTAACGTTTTGTAGTTTCCAGCTTCTGCTGCATCTGATTACACTCAAAAGTTATTTTAATTAACAGTATCCACACAGTTCGAGAATCAGTCCTGTGTAAAATACTTCTTGGCATAATATTCAGAAAGTCATTCAGGTGGAGCCTCTGTGCTTATAGCTGAGGCAAATGGATCCCACAATTAATGACTTTGGATTTTGTGCTTGTAGGTTTAATTAAACAATTCATTTTGGTTTTGGGAGTTTTTAAATGAATGTTGACCTCATGTAGCTGCTGGCTCAGCAGAGATTTACACATATAATTAAAACTTATTGAAATGTTATGAGTTATCTTTTAAATTCGGCAATTTATGCTTCTTCTGAATCTTGAATGTATCCCAGAGTGGAATGGAAGCAACACATGTGCATGTTCACTGAGTATTATCTTTTCTCATCCTTTATAAAATCACTTTTGATCTTCTAAGTGGTCAGTTACCTTTGGCTCAGATTGCTATGATTTGTTTTGTCTCTATTTTGGCATGCAGCAATATGGAGGTAGAAGAAGCAGACACCGGTAAGGGATGATGTATAACTGGTGTTATCCTAAACTGGATACTTTGTGTATATATTGACTCTGTCTTTGTAATTATTCTCTCGGTGCATCAGTGAGCACAGTGTCTAACAAAAATGATTCCTACCGAATTAGAAAGGAAAAATCTGAAAATTGATGGAAGTATTTTCAAGGTTAGGCTAAGAATAGAAAGAAAAACAAACCGTAAGTAAAAAATATATGCACATAGTATGTAAATTATGTGCATAAGAAGATCTAATGTGAAATTCCATTTATAAAGAAATAAATGTCATGGAGAAAAAAAAATAAATTAAAAATTAGGAATATTAATTAAACAAAAATATAAAACTTATATTTATATTCAGTTGAAAAAGGAGTTGGAAGGTGTCATTGCTTATTAAGTCCGACTCCCAATTGACTCATCAGGCATATGAACTGTGTATTGCAGTCTATAATATAGATTCCTTATATGCCCATCATTACACATATTTACTCATCTAATCAGTTGAGTTCTGCTACTGACCTGATTATTTGACTTGTGTTTATGCTAAACATTAAGTTTAGCATAAACTTACTCTTAATGCTAAAAGTTGCAGGATGCCAGTCCACAGGGATAGAGTTGAAGGCACCTGGTCTAAAGTAAGATGTAAGATTTTTGTTTTAGATATGAATGAATTTAAAATAGCTTAATAAAATTATAGTTTTTGAAAACATTGTCAATTATCATGTTAGATAAATTGGACTTTTAAAAGAGAGATTCATAAAATCTCAAATCACTATGAAATGAAGCATTTCATGTTGTGCATCATCAAACCCCAAAAATTGTTTTGGTATTTAATGTTAGTTTTCAGCAAGAAAATGTCCTCATCACCTTTGTTTGTTAGCCTTCTAAAAAATGAGAATACTATGAAAATAAACTTAAAAGTTGAAAGAAAAGAGGAAACTTTTACTATCGGGAGTTGTAGTTTTGATTCCAGTTTCCTCCTGTCATGTGTTGATGTGCCCCTGGGCAAGGCACTTAACCCCGACTGGCCTACCAATCTGCATATTGGTGTTTAAACATGTGAGTTTGAGTGGGAATGGGTGAATGTGTCTGTAGTGAAAAGCATTGTGAGTGATCACTATGAATGGAAAAGAAGTATATAAGTTAAGTCAGTTGAAAACTTTCCCATTATGACAACTGACAATGTGAGAGAAATTTAATATTTTCTGCCTGTCTGTCAGAAAAGCTTCTCACATTGAACTCTGCCCATTTACTGTCATTCCGATCATTCAAATGGACATCTTCTGTGCGGCCTTTCTACATTTTTATCTTCCTACTGCTCTCAGATTGTTATCCTGTGAGAATCCTCTGATCTTCTTTTCTGAATTAAAGTTTTATGTTTCTGACCCCTACAGCAACATTTTGTCTTCTTTCTTTTCCGTCTTCTCTCTGACAGACTGGCCGAGCCCCACTCCGAACGCGTCTCTGACAATGCAGCTCTGAGTCCCTGGGAGCTCTCCGCAGAGAATCTGTTGCCGTTCGGCAACAATTATTTTCAATAGCACCAGCTGGCAATATGAACTTAACAGAAAGCACACACTGGTGCCCAAGACAGACAGAAAACAAACAACATATTCTACATCGTCCCAGTCAGGGGCACAGTGATATTTTTGTGCAGAGAAGCCAAAATAAGCTGACATTATAAAGGATCTTCATCTTGCAGTCTGATTGTTATAAGCAGTACATCATTACTTACATTGAGATTCTTACAAACTACCTAGTGAAATGCGACTTAAACAGTGAACAGTACAGAAATGTAAGTCAAGAAAGAACAAAATATCTACACTATGAAATTCTTATCACAGTAAACGCTGCCTAAAAAGTCCATTTATCACAGTCCAGAAATGTGTTTAACTGACTTGCTGTAGAAATGGGAAAGCCCTTTAATCTTTTTTTGGCAGCCAACTTCTCTGAAAGGAATCCAATGTTTGAATCATTAGATGCTGGCCTAATACTGAATAAATTACACTGTACAAGTGCCAAATAGATCATATTTGTTTCTCACCATGTCAGATTCAAACCATCCATTGTTACTGTTCTGACTACATCAACGAATTGCATCAAGTCTTAAATGGAAGGTTAAATAAATGACAAATCAACCAGGAAGCTGGGAGCAAGTCAAACATTTTGGCAACTATGTCTTAAAGACAACTTGGGACTTTCTTGCAGAGCCAACAACAGTCAAGAAAGAGAAAATATTTTGTTGAGTGGACTATAAAGAAAGATATTGTGGATGTCTGAGGTCAGAGGAGAATTGGCAGACTGATTTGAGGTGATAGAAAGGAAAACAGTAGCTTAATTGTCATCACCAAAGTGTGTGGTTTTGTTGGAATACATCTGAATGAAGTATTCAACATGGATTCAGATGTGTCCCATTAGAGCAGGTGGGACACAACATGGAAAACCAGGAGTTCACTCCTGCTGTAAAGGCTCACCGAAACGAGATGACAGTGTTGATTTGAGGTTTGATGATCAGATGGTCGGGTCAGAATTTGCATGGTTCCATCTTGTCTTGTTTTTGGCTTTTGGCAATGGTATGGGGGGTTATGTTTGTGCCACACTTTTAACCCTTCAGGACCTAATGACTTTTGATTTAAAAGTTCCAGTATTGTTGATCATCATTACTTTATGACTACAGTTTATCCATCCTTTAGTGGTTATTTTAAGCAGGGAAATGCAACTACAGAACTTAAAAATGCCCATTAAGTTAATGTATTCCAATTGCCTCCATTGTCACCAAATCATAAAGATGGGTATTAGAAAATTGACATTATGGGTGATCATTAGATAAAATTTCCTAGTAATAAAGACAACTGGGACTGTGCTAAAATATGATCTTTAAACAAAAAGGAAATAGAAATGTGTCTCATGAATTATTATGATCTTCAAAATAAACTTTAATTTATTTGTCAAGCAGAGAAGCGTTTTCCTCCAAAACAGTTTCAGTGCTAAAAACCAGACATGGTATAAAAAGAAAAGTGAGATCCAAATTTGTTCTTCCACAGTCAGAGAGCCACCGCTGAGCCATGTCATTATGTTGTTTAAGATATTTCTAGCATTATATGTTTTCCCTGATTCACTTGGTTATGGTATTTCTGGACAAGATTACAGTGCTGGGAAGGAGCTTACCTACACTAGTACTACCACACTGGCATCCTCATATATTGCATCTTTTATGTTGCACAGACTGATTGGTTATAGCCTGTGCTCCAATGTTTTTACTACCTGCAGTGTTGTTTCAGCACATGAAGAACTTTGGAAAGAGACATTTGGCTCCATCTGTCTGGAACATTTTGCAGCAGAATCTGTAATTGTCAAGTTGAACTTTATTGTTGTGCTTTAAACATTGTTCAAGTGGTTTCAAAAGCTCTTGAAACTACTTCAAGAGTTTTTGAAACATGTTTTAAAAACATGTTTTTAAAATGTTCTCTCAGAAACATTGCTTTTAAACTTACTGCCCTTGGATCAGCTGATTAAGTGTTATATTGCTTTAAACTGCCTGTTTTTTTTTTGAAAGTCATTTAAAAATTTGTATTCTATAACCTTTGAATATTTTTTTCCAACTAATTTAATTTATCATTCTATTTCATAACAGCTTAACTAGGACTGTTTTGAGAGTGAAACCTCATCTCTCAATGGGACTTACTTCTATAAAAAAAGAATATAAATAAATAAATTCTCTACACAAATAAGCTTATTTGTCTTGTTAACTCCAAATTTCACAAGATTAAATTATAAATATGTTGTCCTGACTAAAATTCCCAACTTCTATGTTTCAAGCATAATTAATTTTCAGTAGTTTTAACATATTTAACATACATAATTAATGAATTGTCTTAAAAGACCAAATTAAATACTTGACATGTTACTCTGGTGCTCATCAAAATTTAAAAGTTTAAGTCACATGTTTTGCCTCAGGACTTTATTATCAATAAAATCAGTGCAGGAACAAAAGGAACTGGTGTGAAGCACGAACTTGCTTCGATTCAGCACTCAAACTGGTTTGGAAGAAACACAGTTTCTAGTTGTGATACAGTGTATTTACACCTCGGCATTCACTGATTGAAGGACTGATTGACATGTTAGCATCTGAGCAAAACCACAAAGGCTTTGAATAAAAAAAACACATACAAATATGGTGTGTGAAATTGAGTCTTAAAAGTAATCACAAAATCAGGCTTATGAAAAACATTAAAGCAATCCACTTACATTTATTTATAAATATGTATATTTAATTTTTATGATGTCTTAAGGTGTCCAACTTGTTTCGATTTATATTAACAGAGACCTTGGTCTTGATTAAATCCAGCAGAAGCTTCTCTCTGACAGGAACAGGTTGACCTTACAGCAGCATTACTTTCAGCTGTTTCACTGGTGTGTATTTAATCCCTCACATTTATCATAATCTCATTTATTCAGCCGTCACTGTACATAAAGATGGATGTCAGTTTTAAAGAAAAGTAATCATGCCGGAGTATGATAACTGTAATTCCACCTCCTGTGTCTTTGAGTAAATGTTGTATTTTTCATTGTGGTGAGCATATTGTATTACTGTAAATGATGTAGAAGCAGGCCTTTATGCAAGTTTTTCTTTTAAGCTATTTATCATTCCTGAGATGTAAATGTGTGGTTTGTACAGATTTTAACGTGTGATACTTTTACAGCTGCAGGAAACAGCTTTTACTCAGTCACATGCACGTCAGTAGTCACAGGTTAAACTGCTGTATGCCTTTTCAAACCTTCGTCTGTAACTCCAGAAAACACACTTTATCCCAAGGATCTGCCCTTAACAGTGGAAACGAATTGCCCAAAATCTCATTACAGGTTTAGACCGAGCACTTTATTTTTATTCATTTCTTAGATGGCACTCATTGTAAGAAGGGCATTTTTTTGTCCCCGAGTGTGACTGAAGAGGTCTCTTCTCTCTGTATTCATGGCACCCTGGCTGAGAATAATTGTGACGCAGGGGGGGTTTCTTGTGTTGTTGTCATGACACCCGCTGCAGAATAATTGGATGGCTTATCAGGTTACGCCATGGAGCTTAATTGCATTGTTATATTCCTGACTGACAGAAATATGAGCTTGACTGCCTCTCGAAAGAAAACCGTGTATTTCAGATATTGACGATGGCATCCTGAGTGTCGGTAGATGATTTTTCAACTGTGAAGTTCAAGAACACACAATGTCAAAATGTACAATTTTATGTATTTATTTCTTGCTCAGACACCTGCCAGTGTTTTCTATATTTGGTCACTATTGGGTAGTCACTGGACTGATGTCTTGCTGTGCAAGAATTTATTGGTATCAAAAGACCAGATGATCTCAAAAGTGTACACACTTGTTTAAAATGCATAGTTTAGCGATGCAAAATATGAAATTAAGATGAATAATTTAAACACCAAATACTTTTAATGACAACTTTTGAGAGCAAAATATGAGACAGTGAGTCAGAACTAAGATCCAGCAAAGTAACGCAACACATTCTGTGTCCTTGTTCAACAGAATAAGAACACATAATATTCTGATTCTGAGTCGGTCTCATTTTCAACCACTCAGTCCCTTTTCAATTGAGTTTGAGAGGAAAATAACATTTTGATATAACCAAATTTTGTAACACAACCAATATTAGATACTTTAGCAGGAACATTTAGAAATAAATAAGCTATTGAATGGATGATGGATCTGTACTAATCTAATAAAGTGAATTTCACATTGCCAGTGAAGTTCATACAACATCAACATAGGCAGACTTGCAGCATAGCTTGAATGCAACCGGTCCTTCGGCGCAGCTCTGTTTCATGTGTAGGAGGAGGTAAAGGGTCTGGGGGACTTTGAGGTATATAACACTCCAAACTGAATCAGGAGTGCCCCGAATACAAATCAACCCATGAGGATTTGAGTCCAGGAGACATTTGAAGGTTGTAATAATAAAACCTGTTTTCTTTCGTTTGAGCTAAGATTTTATTTCCCCGAATAAGTTTACAGGATTGTTTTATTTAAAATAATAATAATAATAATAAAAACAACAAAAAAGGTGCTTACCCATTTTCAATCTATGCAACTAGAGTCGTTTTAAACAAGGTTGTGATGTTACAATAAAAGCAGTTTGTGTATAGACTGCACAATTATTGTGTAATCTGTGTAAAACGTGTACAGAATTTGGGAACCTATGCTTTGCTACATATTTATTCACAGTAAAGAACTTTGTACAAATATTCTATTGTTTCCAAGTTTTTTAAAATAAGAAAAAATAGATGTATTAGAAAAGGACATGTTTATGCTTTATTCTTCAGTACTGTATGTCTGGTAGTCATAAAAAAAGAAATAGACTAATTTTTTTAGCCCTGAGCTGCTGAATGTGCAGACAAACAAGTCAATATCAAATGTTTAACTGGAAATGTTTATTTTTTTTCCCTCCCAATAGTCTGGGCAAAAATGTCAATTCAGACCTGCACTTCAGCCCATGTTGTTTTGCTCTCAAATATTTTTAGAGCTCTGTGTGGGCAATCAAAAGCGAGGACGTGTCGCTGATTGGCTTTCCGACTGAAAGTCAAATCGATAAGACTTTTCATTCAGCTCTCTGCTGAATCAAATATTAGATAACACATAGCAGGTGCATGCATTAGTTCACAGAGAATCTATTTTTGGTCAGCAAAAAAAAAAAAAAAAAATACTCCTATTGGCTTTGGTCGCATATAAACGGAATATCTTTATATTTGTACTTTTTTATTACTGTAATAAAAGTTTATCTTTGCTGTCATAGATTCCGTCCAGTGATGGCTACTTATAGCGCCAGCAGCATAAAGTGGCTCTTCAGCCTGGCAAAGCAATATTGCTGAGGTAAAATTCCCCCCTTAAATATTTAGCAAAATCCCTTTTTATTTGAGGCGATTTATTCAGTGGTGGATACTCCACTTCAAGCATATTAAGAATAATTTGTTTTTGGCAAAACCAAAATTATTGACACTCAATTGCCCAATACTGTATTTTTTTAACCCTCTTCTGTTATCACTTCAGATAACATTTCGGTGGGAGCAAACAGGATTTTCTTCTCGATAAATTTACTCCCAGGTCAAGTTGGATTTCTTTCATTTGTCAGTGAGAGAGTACATTATTGCAATTAAACATTGATTTACCTTTTTTTCTCACGAGAAAAAAAAATGCTAATTAATGTGGTCAGCACTGCATACCTTGTTCTATGAAAGATAAGGCAATCTTTCTTTCGACAGTAGTTTCTTACCAGCATTCATTGTGACTATTCAAACAGCACTGATCATCAAGAGGTGAGAGTGAGGTGAGATCCAGACACCTGGAACCAAACATTTCTCCTGTTCAGATAGTAGCAGAGAGGTAAGAAAACTGGAAAAGGGACAATCAGAATGGTCCTTCATAAACAAAGAAAACCTTAGAATATGAATAGAAGAGCTGATGATGATGATGAAAAACAGGTGCATACTGATCAGCAAATTGAAATTAGGTTTCAGACTACATGAGCATAATTGCCTGAGGAAAGAAATGCCCCCCCCCCCCAAAAAAAGCCAAAAGATACTCATTAGAACATTTTGCTCTTTAAATATTGGCTGTGAAGTTGGCTCTAATCTGCCAGGAGCTCAAGGTGAAGTGAACTGAGTAACAGCTGTGTAGACGGAGAAATGCAGGAACGCGCAATACATGTCTTCAGTTTGGAACGCATGTTTTCTTTGTGGATAATCACATTAGGGTGAGAGGAATACTCAGAAGTAGGTGAACATTGTGTTTGATTTGTTTCGTGCAACTCAAGTAATTTAGGTTCCAAAAACTTTTCTGAAACTCTTTCCCCTGTGAAACAGTAATTAAATGTTTTTTTTGCTTTTGCTGATTCTGAATGTTTCTTTAGTGATTGCTTTGACAGATGGCTATCAAAGGTATGCGGACATTTGGAAGTGTAATTTTCCAGATATAAATAAGCTCCTAGAAATTAATACGAAATGCTGTAGAAATAGGAGATATGCACACACATATCTGAAAGTCAATTTCAAATGTAAGCTATGCATAGTTTCACTTCTTTCAGGAATAAAACTCTATAAAGGCTTCCAAAATGTAAATGCAGAACAATCGGTTGATTTATAACATAGAATATGACTTGCCATCTACTTTAATTTGCCAGGGCAGAGTATAATGGAGAATTAAAAGTACAAGCTGAAGACCATAAAAAATAAATATGGCAGCTTCTTTCCAAAACCACTAACTGTTGAAGACCAAACCCTCTGTGGAGCGCTTGGCTCGCCTTCAAAGACGGCTATCCAGCTTTAAGCTTAAAACACTTTCATATTTTCATAGAAGCCCTCTTGAGACTTGCAGCAACCTTTCAATTATATTCTGTGCTGCATAAATAACTGCGGGGTTATCACTTCTAGTTGGAATCATTCAACAGTTTGCACTGAATGCGGTCTCTATTTCTTTTGATCAAAAACAATTTCTATGAATATGGAAGCATCTCCTTGCTTCAGATACTCTCAAGCCTCTTTGCACCTCTGATTGACAACTGAGATGCCACCTGCACGACATGAAAGAAGTCTGCAGCTGCATATTTGTTAAAGTAAAAAAAAAAAAAGACCTGGTAACATGATGAATAAGCAATAATTGATGACAAGTAATATTGAATAAATTCTTCCCAAATCACTTCCGTCACAGTTTTGCTTCGTAATTTAAGACCATTATTTGCTAGCATAGATATCATGGAGAGAAAAATGCAAAATCACAACAAGATGGCATTTCTTCCTAAAAATGCACATATACCACAGCATTTATAATTATTCATTAACCTAAGAGTATTTTAGTCCCAACCAAAGTCTGGGATACACTTTGAATCACAATCTGCAGATGAACAGCTCATTTAGTATTCATGAGCGTGTAATTGGTCAGATAATAGGCAATCCAACACATTTTGAAACGGCTAATTAAAGACTGATAAGGTGTTCCAAATGCCCTAACGAATTAATATTGTGCTGATAATGGTTGTACCATTTGACTCTGACAACCTTTTGCTACTGACTTTCAGAGGTCAGATGTAGTAAAATGTTAACAGAGAACATTGTGTCAAACAACTCAGGATTTACAAACTAACAGCTTTTCTTCATGCATAGTCTTTACTAAAGAACCTCCCATTGAAGAGTTTTACTATTAAAGGTGAGCATGTATGAAAATTCAGAGGTTATGTCCCATCTTTTTTACTGAAAAACCTAATTTAATAGTCTGAAAAATATGTCTTTGTATTTCAATTTGATTTCAATTTTAAAGAGTATTGGTAAAAGTGTAAAACACATATCCCATTTGCTCACAGATTTTCAGAAAAAAAAACTGCATGATCTGAAGAAAGGGGAACAATTATGCATCATGAAATTATGCACTGGTCCAAATCCTATTAAAAGAAGGTGAAGTGCATTTATATATAGAAACACTTCATGCTTTAATCTCTGAATCACAATGTAATCGAGACTCATCTTAGCTATAAATCATCTGAACTAATGGAAGTTGGCCGATTGTGCTGCACTGCAACAGTTAGCTAGACACCTAGTAATTTATATTTTAATGTAATCTCTTTCTATTTTTAAGGTACTTCACTGTAATTACATTAGGGATCAGGAACGTTCCAGTTTAAAGGCTGAATAAAATGCCTCAGTGAATTTGTCTTGTTCAGAGCTGCAGCAGACAATCCTGGCTCATGGAGGATAAATTTTACACCTGTTGGTGAGTTAATTAACTGATGTTGGCTGACAGTGACTTGAGGGATTTATTTTTTTCAGAAAAGTAAATAAGCAAAGATTGAATCATCTCTGCCTTTGGGGGAATTAGATGTACTACTTTGTTGAATGATGCAGGCAGAATTGACTCGCCTTCTTGTGTTGTCTCTGACCTGAGCCATCAGATCACCGTCAATAGACTGAAGAATTGGGTGAAGGTATAAGAACAACTTTTGAAAAAGTTTATTTAAATGCATGATGATTTTCTGAAAGCGATTCAAACTAAAGGTCTTCTGCTCCATCATGATTTACCTCACAGTTCTGTATTGGGGCCCCTGTGGTTTATGTTGCAGATTTTGATCGTATTTAAATCCATTTATCATCGCCACACATACTACATTCAGTTTTACATATTTTTACGCCATTACATTTCTAAGCTCAATATCCTTCTTAAATGTCCAGACTGTTTTGAAAACTAGATGGCTGGAAAATTTTCTGTAGCTCAAACAAGAGCCATTTTACTTTCTATGCAAAATCTTCTAGGAGCCTTGGATAATACTTTGGCTTTGCAATCTCTGGTTTCGTAATTTAATCATTTAATACTTCAAAAATATTTCAAAGTTGAGTTCCATTATGTCATGATCAGAATAGGAAACAGCCACTTAATATGATTGATTGATTAGGTGGCAAATAACTTTTTGTCTGCCAAAGCAAAACAATGGTCCTGCCTTTAAATATACAAAACTCTTTGGAATTCAAATAGTCTTTTAAGAAAGTTGCGTCTGCGTTTTGACTATATTGGTCTTTTGTTTAAAATTTCGGCCAGTAGTGTACCATCCCTGAGTGGCGACGCTCCAGTTAAAGTATTATTAGACGTTTGCTAAATTCTGCTGTGCTGTGAATGGTGTAGCATCTCCATTTCTTGTCTGATTATTGTGAATAACAACCAGTACCATCAAATCTTCTTTGACAAAAACATAAAACTTTGTTTTTGTCTCAAAATTATCCATTAAAACAATAAATGGTGGTGCAGAATAGGATGAAATTGTTGTATGTTAAGAAGTCTGATTTAAATCAGTCTGGCATTTTGTCCCTCAATATAAGAACATTGACTCACAATTTTACTTGTAATTCACATTTATTTTTCTACTAAGGACTGAACAACCTTACAGTGCATAATCATAAGAGTCTTTACAGGATCTTTATTACTGAAATGCAATTGTCTTAAAGCCTCCCTAGCAATTTACAACCCTGAAAATGTTTTATGTACAAGTATTTTTGCAAACAATTGAAGTACTTTGTAGCTTCCCATTCAATTATCTTTATTGTATTAGCTTTATTTTATTAATGAGACATTTCAAAACAAGTTTTATTCTACAGGTCAGAAAAAAATGTGTTCAGGAAATTACAATAAATATGCACTGCATGTTTAGATGTAGCAACCTTCTCTAAAAGCAGACTAAATATACAATAAAGCTTCTTGGCACATGTAAATGCTTTTTTTTCTCCATTTTGAGTTTCTAAGTTCAAATGGTTTTCTACATACCCTGCATGCAACTTTATTTCAGGAAACTAAAATGTGTTTCTTATATGTGAAATATGAAAACACACAGTGTTATCCAAAAATTGGCAGTTTAGTTTGAACCAAAAAAAAAGGAAATGTTGTATTGATGTTATTTTCAGAGAAAAGTTTTTAACACAAACTTTCTTTGATCCTATTCAGATCCTACTCACAGTAATCACAAAGCATTATAATGTCCAGGCAGCATATGAACACTACTCGCACTTGTCTATAAGAGGTGAACAGAGTATATAACTGCACATGCCAATATCAAAAATATGCTGCGTGTTTAGCGTCACAAAGACACGCCTCCCAGAGATGATAAATTACTGTTTCATATTGCAGCTTTGAAGCAAGCACCCAGCAAAGACATCAGTGTTTTCTGCACCGTGGATTAACATTAAATCAAGTCTTACTAATTTGCAGAGGAATAGTTTTTCAGCAATTGCAAGTAGTACCTGTGTCAGAACACAAATGTACGCGTTTTCTTCCCCTGCCCCCCAAAAAGCACGAATGCTTATCAGTCTTCTGTTAACGCTCTTTCATCAATAAATGCTTTATAAGTAACTCTTATCATCTCTGTTTTTCTCTGGATGTTTTTTCCGACTTGGAGAGAAAGAAAGAAAGCATTAACAGTTGAAGATGCAAAAGTTCAAGTTTGGCCTTCTTCTTGTCAGACTTCAATAATGTTTATAGACGGCACAGAGGGATGAAACTGCAAAAGACAAGAAAGAAAACATTGGTAATGTAAATATGGGAAAGTGAGTAAAATTTGCTGTTAAATTTCATGTATTGTAACGTGTGTGACTATCCTTCTTTGCAAACATGGCTAAATGTACATTATTACTGATTTGTAGTGCTCCTTGCACTATAGATGTCATCCCTAATACATGAATCATAGAAAACGCTACAGTGGTAAGTGGAAAAATCCACGAAGTAACTTTTACATACGGCAAGTTTTAAAGTCATAGTATTAAATTCAATTTGCCAAAATCTCTAAGCTATAATATTTCTTCATGTTCACCTTGCTTCTTAGTAGTCCTCCACTGTGGTGCTCCGGTGTGCTCCTCTCCGACAACGGCTTGACCTTTTCCTTATTGTTGCTGGAATCGTTATCCTTTATGATGTCATACTGCCGGCAGAACAGGGCTATAACAGCTGCCAGGAGGACAGAGGAGGACACACGTGAAAAGCGCACTCACACAACAAACAGGAAGTCAGTCACAAGGAAGCCACTGTCATTCACACTTCCTGCACCCCTGCACACTAAAATGCCATGTGGATAATGGAACTTGGCTCCCCGGGGACTTTGATAGCTGTGCTTTCATTTTTAAAGATGGAGAGATGATACAGCCTGCCTTTTTATGTTCTGCAGCCTTTTCGACGCAGCTGTGCTTTCTGTCTGAACAGCATTGTAAATTCAGAGTTAACTTCCTGAAAACAGGGAATTTCTCTAAGGGCGCTGCTGTCACATTTTCAGAAATGAATACGGAGATCTGGTAATGATATCTCCATGACACTCTTTCATTGGCTTGACATTAATATCAATGCCTCATACAGCGGTGCAGCTGCTGCCTAATTAGCAAAGAGACGTTAATGTTGTTGATAATGCTCGTCGCATTGATGTACATTACGGTTGCATTAGATAAGATTGATGGGTGAGCCCTGAATGTGTACGTTTTTCTATTAACACGAATTCTGCTGAGACAGAGATGGTCAGTTCAGAACTGTGTTAGGATTAAATGTCTATGGGGGTGAACTTGAGCCATAAGCTATGAATGAAAGTTAGTTTGAAATTTAAAGATGATTTTGATCTTGAAATTTGAAAAAAAAAAAGTACAAGTGACAAATAATTAATTAAGAATATTGTTTAAATTATCTTATAATGGGCAAATAACTTGATCGTATCTATCTATTTCTTGTTCTTTTTATACTTAATGCAAAGTTCTACAGAAAAAATATAAATTTTACAAGTGCATTTTGCAGAAGTAGACATTGAAGCAAGGTCATTAAATGTAAGTGCTATGCACTATTCACTTTTTATTAAATGTAATCTAATTCAGCAAGGTGGAGATTGTGAGGATCATCTTCAAATGTGAAAATAGCAGTTTTCTCAATTTTTAAAGCCTCTGTGTTGGCTTGTTTTCTCTCATTAAGCTTTTCTAACATTTCTGTCACATATTTCATGTCTTATTGTGCCTCAATAGAGCACTTCTAAACAGTCATAGAAACCCTGAGATGGATGGAGACTCCAAAAGAGAAAGAGAAAGAAGCATCACTGTTGTGAAACAGCTTCAAGTGAAAAATATTTTATTTTCCTATCCGCCTGTTTTTATTACTTTATTTTTAGATAGACTCTCCTGGGATCCCACTGATCTTTTTCCAGTGGTTTCTTTATTGTTAATGACTAAGTCAGAATGATGATGTAGCCATAAGACAGAAACCTTCATTATTTTTGTATTGATTATTGATTAACAAACTTAATCAATACATGTTGATTAAGTTTGTTAGAAATTTGTTGTCATAATTGTAATAATTCTGAAGTAGGAATTGTGTTTAATAGAAATAAAGTGGTGCTTTTAATTTTATTAGATAATGATAATTTTACTAACAGGGTCCTTGACAGATGACATTTTTCAAATAAACTTTTTTTCTAAATGACTCTATAGGCGGCTTTTTTTCCCTTCTTACTCTCAACCAGTGAAATACAAACACAAGAAACTGCTTTTTTTTTTTTTAAATCAAAAACTTGCATTTTTCACATTCACAAACGTACCTGCCCACATGACCAAGACGACAACAATGATGATCATCTCCCCCGTTTGAAGATGCCGAGACTTGTCCAGGCCCTGCACTGTGGGGTCATCTAGGAAAAAGCCCAGTTCAGAAAGTGAATATGTCATATTTATGAACCCATTGCAGTAAATATAACGTTGTGAGTCCATGAATACCAATTCTGACAATTTGATACTTCAGTGTTTCAGAATCCAGCTGAGTATAATGAAATATCTTTGCACCATTTTTTGATTTATGCACACTGTATTAAATCAATTGATTGTGAAAAACTTTTATCTTTTCTGTAGCTCATGACTGTTATTAGAATTAGCTTTCAGTGAATGAAATGAACAAACCAGTCTACAAAATTAATTATAGCCCAATATCCTTCTCTAACTGTATCAACTAGACCTTATCCTGTCTCCTAACTTGGCTGGATGGACGTGTTCCAGCGCACCACTCTTCCTAATTGGCTCCTTTAGTGTATCAACTTGTCAGGGAACTGCCCCAAAAGTGACGGTCTGTCAGCTCTTTTCACATTATAGTAGTTTCAGTGAGTGCTCAGTTGTTCTTCCAAATTTCTTTAGATACATTATGGGATGGCTTTGAAAGTGGACAGAGGAAGGGAGCCAGAGTTCATCAAAAAAAAAAAGAGTATGCAGTATTATGATAGATTGCAAACATATTGTCATTTATAATCTAGATTAATCTAGTTAAACAAGACGAATGCATATGTTGGAATATCTCTTTTTAATCTTCCTTATAATCTCTAAGAGCAAACTAACTAAATTATCCCGACAGCAGAAACCAATAAGGTAGAACTGTTTTCAATGAAGCCAGCCATGTGACAACTTTGTCCTGCTAAAGGAAATTATAAGAAGCTTACACTCAATTATCCAACAAGCTGTTCAACAAGTTTAAACATTTGGGAAGGGGATTAAAATAGCTAAGTGAAGATTTATTAAGAATTGTGAGAATAAAAGACTTGGCTTTCCTCCTTGTCTCTTAATCTGTTCTTCATTTGTCAAAAAAGAATATATTTTTTACCCCATTTTTTAAATGTGTTTTTTTTAATATATTTAATATTAATAGTATTTTTTGTATTTCTTTTATGGAGTAATTTGTGGTTTTTTTTAAACTCCCCATGCAGATGTTGTGCATTAAGCTCTGCATAGAAATCAGAAGGAATATTACTTTAAAATGCCAGGACAGGACTGAGGTCATTGCTTGATGGCTTTCTCAGATAGCTGTTATCCAGTTTGTTACTCCCACATGTCCTCAAGCTACCTGAACCCACTCAGCAAATACCAGTCAGCAATTGGTTCTTTCTAATTCATTTCCATCTTTCCAGCATAGGAAGGAGTATGTGCATTTTTACCAAAACCCACACTGAGATATTAGCAGCACAGCCTTTTAGTCTCTGGAGCCTTTAAAGCTCTGCTGGATCAGTTATTCCATCACATCCCCCAACATCTTGACAGTTGCTCATGTTTTTCTAACACTTATCTTTTGCTGTTTTTAGAAGGGACTCGCCATTAATTACCGGAAGACCACAAACTCTATAGAGGTTCAGACTCACTGAAAAATGCTTTAATTTCGCACACATTTTCTCTTTCACCTTCGTTTGAGCAGCGATATTGTTTTAGATTTGTACCATATACCATAATATACATGTGGATTTGAGAAGCAGTAGGTTTTATACAACAGACACAGACATTTCTGGATGACCTATATAACATTGAAGTGCTGTTTGCACCACTCCCATATTGTTGTGTGATTCTTTGCTAACGCAGAACAACAGGACTTCTGAGCCTTTGACACACAGAGTAGTCTGTGCTGAGAAGATTACTTGAAATTCCTTCTGCTCACCCCTAATCCCACGATGCCGAATGTAGCTCAGACCTGTGATGGGGAGATGTGTAACAACCCACTACGGATTTAATACAGGAGTCATAACCATGCTTCTACTGATTATTTCTTTTATTACATCTCCTGTACATAAAGCAGTTGTACAGGTGCATAGTAGCTTACCAAAATATTCATATCCCTTGGAATTTCTTGCATGTTTAGAAACACAAATGTCAATGTATTTTACATGATATATGTAAAATATATCAACACAAAGTGCTGCATAATTGTCAAAATGAAAAATGCAATAAGTTTCCTCAACTCGATACGTTGTAGAGCATTCTATCCTGCAATTACGGTTGCATATGTTTGGGGAAATGGCTCTGCCAGCTTTGAATATTTAGAGACAAAAGCTTTTATCCTTTTGTTCTTTTGCAAGTGGGGGAAAGCATAGGTTGAAATAGATTTTCAAGTTTTCAAGGTTCATTCAAGGTCTGCACAGTGATTCAAAGCATTTTTGTTGTTGAACTGGATATGAGTCTCTGCTCCAGTGTTAAGCCTTTTGCAACCTCTAACAGGTTTTCCTTCAGCAACGTTCCCCAGGTTGCTTAGCCCTGCTGAAGAACATCAACCTCACCACACCATCATGTTTTATATTGATATATGTCCAATGTCAGTTTTTCGCTCTGTGGCATTTCGCAATTAGACCAAAAAGCTCAAATTTGGACTCATTTCATCTGAACCTTCTTCCACATTTGCTGTGTTGTCTGCATGGCTTATGGAAAACTGAAAATCAGATTTGATTCCATCAAAGCCTTTTGTGCAATTCCTCTAGTAAGGCCAAATTTGTGAAAACTAACAGATTTTCTGCCAACAGATGCCACCATCTTAGCTGTTGACCACCAGAGAAACTGTCGGGTTGTTGACTGCATCTTTCATACTCCTTATTCCACCTGATGGTTCAGGTGGACAGCCATGTCTTCATAGGTTTGTGTTTATGCAATACTGTTTCTATTTTAACTTGATGCTCTGAAAAGTGCCTCAGGTGATGCTGAGAGTTTTGGCTGTTATTTTTAACCTGCCCCTGCTATACACTTATCCACAGGTTTATCTGTATGAAAAATACTGTACATGGCTGGGAAATTCCACATATATCTGACTAAGTGAAGCACGTCTCTATTTCAGTGCTTTTGATGATAGAGTCTCGGTGAAACTGCTGCCTCACAGGAGACGGCTGAGCATCTCTTTGAAGTACTGTACAGTAATTATGCCTATGGGGACCACCTCCTTGGTTAGTCTTTGCTCAAAGAACCATGTCAAAAAATTATCTTTCAATTTAAGCTGTAAAGTAGATTGGCAGGAGTTAATAGGGCTTTCTTTTGGGGACAATTTTTATTACACCAATGAAACAGTTTTACACCTGCTATAGATCCTCAGTTCATGCTAACAATGGTAATTTACTCATTTATAGAAAGACAAACTGCCTCACAGCTGACATTTTATGTAAAAGAAGGTACAGAAATTTAATAGCAAAAACAACAACAAAAAAAGCATACTACAAATATATACATATATTTATAGAGATATGTTTTGGTTTTTTTACACAGATTCTGTTCAAGTCTGACTGTGCTTAGTATCCATTCATGTTATTTTAAAGAACCTCATCAATTGATGAGAGTCAGATTCCTAACTGTCGACCATAGTGTGTAGCAGAAATCAATATGGCTAGGAAGCACTTAACCTTAACAAAGGAGATCTGAAATTGCTCTTTCAGGTCAGCGTTTGTTTGATATAAAATAACTTTTAAAGTAAACAAAAGAAAACGACTAGAAGACCCCCAACAAATAAAAAAACTCATAAATCTCCTTCCTTTTTTGGTACTAGTATAGAAGAACCAGGCATGTGTTTTGTTGTTTATTTTTAATGATAACATGTCCTCTTGTGTCTTTATATTGAATGTGTATGTCTCACATCCTTTATTACATAACCTCCTGGACATAGCAGTGTGTTAAGAAACGGACTTGTGCAAATGCACTGCAGAACGTCCCAACCAGTCATTACTGGAGAGGCTTCATCCAACTTTACATTTTTTATTCATTACATTTATTTAAATTTTTATCTTTGTAACCCTTTCTGCTGTTTAATTAAAGAGAATACTACCAGGCAACATTCTCAATCTTCTGGTTTTTATAAAATATTTAGATTTATAACTAATTGCTTTACACAATAGTTATGGGCAGCATTCCATAAATGCTAGGTGAACATGAGTCCATTTTCAGAACAAAGATTGATTTAGAGATATACTGTTCTTACTCTTGCTTATTTTATTTCACACAAAAGACACAAAATAGTATCTTATATAGGATTCAGAACCCCAATTCTACACCTTTAGAAACCACTCAAGTATTTAAAACATAAAATCGTAATAGAATTATGTATGTATTATGAGTTTATTCTAAAGTAAACACCAAACAAAAAGAGCATTAAATGTAATCAAGAAGCACAATGAAAAACATCAAGTTATGAGGTTCATAAAAGCTGCATAATTAAAAACGATGTCCCTGGACTTTAAAAACAGGATGTGAGGAGTCAGCACTGCTGGCGTTGGATTTATGAAACGCAGCCAGTGATTGCTTTCAGACGCCAAACAAGCTCCTAAAAAATTATTCTCATTTTACTGAATGGGCTGTTTTTCTGACCCAGTTGGAAGACCTAGAGAGGCTACAAACCTTGATTAATGCTTCACTGTAAATCTCTCGGATAGTCGGCACTGGCAATAAAGTTGTGTATGTGAATCAGTTTATTGAGATATGTTTATGACAGTGTAATTGCCTAAAAGTACTTGAAATCAAATAAACATAAACAAAAAAGCAACACAGGTCATGCGATGGATTTGTTAAGTAAAGTAACTCGGTACATCACTGCCCTTGTTATCTTGATTTATAGAGCATAGGCTCTTCCGATTAGCTGCCATTCGTTACTTTTTACCCCCTCCGTGGACAGTCTTGCTTGTTTAACAAATTAAACCGATTCTGAGTCAGCTAAAGAGGAACATTTATGATTCCCTCGCATCAGCGTTTCCATTTTTCACAACCTCCAACCCGTGTGTGATATCATTAGGAAAAATCAGCTGAGTGTGTCAGACCTGCTCACAAACAAGTGTCAAGTGAGGCTTCATTATTTCGAGACTGAGTACATTTGGCTCATCATATAGACGTGGCTTAGCTAATGCAGAGGGGTTTACAAAATATATAATTTTTTTCTTTTTACTCTGAGCTTAAAAAAAATGAAGCTGTACTCTGCATTGGTCATGGTCTTCTTCTTTCCACCAGTTCCTGAGGAGAGCCCATCTACTGAATTTTAAATGTTTTGGAGTCTGTAGAGACTCACCACACGTTATGTAATGTTGCATAAATTCAGCGCAGCTTGCCATGCCTGAAGACTCTGTCAATAATGTATTGGTGTCTGAGAGAAAAGCCTTCTCCCTTCATCACCACCCGAGATCCCACTGTGAGGTTCTGACAGGAAGCCTTCATGTTGTTACACTCGACAACACTTGCCTTCACTTTGTCTCATTTTCAATGTCAGCTTGCTTTAAAAGGATAGAGTGGAGAAAAAAAAGAGACTTCAGCACAACAGTGGGAGAAGTGTCAGCAATGGGCCTCGTCTGTCTGTGAGGTGGGATTCATGGTGGATTAGACGGAAGGTGTTAGGCAGAAGCTCAGTTCTCAGTTTCTGGAATATCAGCTTAGTGTTTAATCTGCATTTAGGTCGTTTAATTGTGGAGCTCCTTCTGTTTTTTGATGCAAATACACAAAAAAAGTTTAAGAATCTCATTGTAAGATAGCAAAGCATTTTCGTTCGCATCTCAAGAAAATGCTTGCCTTCGTCAAGCAGAAATGCACCTTGTGAAAGCTGAGTCCGTGCTTTGTGAAGATGCTTTTCTTTGGCAGGGACAGGAAAGCTTGTCCCTGCAGGACAAGCAGGTCCCAGAAAGTCTCCATAAGGAGATCAGACACCTGTACCTTCCCTGAATCCTCATGATTCAGAGGAATTGGAGTGTTATGCTGCACCTGTGTTCTCAGTCCTCACTCACTGTCAGGCTCTAAAACCAAGCCCAGCCCCAATACAGAGGAACTCATTTCAGCTGCTTCTATAAAAGCCTGGAATGCATTGATGTGACATAGACCGGTGCACTAAAAACTCGACTCCAAGAGTTTGATGCTCTAGAAGATCATTTGAATGAATCATTAACTATCCTCTCTGAATACATAAATACCTGGTTGTCATAAAAATGTCGTGTACTTTGGGTTCTCTGTTCAGGGACAGTGGACTTTTAAGGATTAACAACAACATGGCCATTGTGAGACGTCTCTTAGTTTGTTTCAGAACAAAATCAATCAAACTTTTCTCCAATATCTTACACTCTTCTTGTTAAGCTAGCATATCTACAGACTGTGCCAGTTCTTTAAACATTTAAGAACTACCTGTTTAATTTGTTCAGAGGTTCTACATTAACCACTGTTAGCATATATGTGAGCATAAATTAACTATTCAGTTAAATATTTAGAATCAGTTTCATTCATCACGTTTGCCCACACAAAGAAGGAATATGACTTTGGTTACACTCTAAGCCCAGTGAGCACTTTCTAAATACAAACATATAAAGAAGTGACACAGAAATAAAGAGATCAAAGTAGTGATTTTACTCTCTACATTACTACAGAATGCTCAAGCAGCATACCTTGGTTAGAGCTGTTAGAAGAGAACCGGTCAGTTTTCTTAAGAGTGCGAAAGTGAACTTTCTTGCTGGCTTGGCTTTCCCCGTAAAGCCCAATGGACTGGACTTGAATGATGTAGTCCGTCTCCTCCTCCAGGTCCCAAAGAACACAAGAACGACTGGTGGTGTTGACCTCACGAATGAATCGCTGCATGTGTCCGTCCTGCCTCTGAAAGTATATATATATATAAAAAAAAAGGTAGAGGGCAAGGAATAGATTAATCTATTGAGCAATTCCACTGATGATTGATAATGAGGGGAATTAGGTGATCAGGGTGACCACACAGCCCTGCAGAACGAGTCTCTCAGAGAGCCATTGTCTCCTCTTGGAAGTCTCATGGCTTCGCTTCATTAAATCTGATGGGATAATGTTAGAATCAATAAAGTGTCATGCTGCAAAGGCATGGAAACAATCACAGACCTTTCTTAGAATGTGCTAAAAAGCTGCCCAACTAGAAATAGTTTGGAGAACAACATGCAATCTATTTCACTCTGAGAGGCCTGAGTCAAAATTAGGATTAATTAAGATTGCATAAATTTCATAAGAAAAAGCTTTTGAAAATATTAAACTTTTTCTGTTGGTCTGGCTTCTGTTCTTGTCTTTGGGCAGGATGTGTTGTTAAGAAAGAATCCACGTATAAAAATAATGAATAATGCAATGCTTAAACTCCTACGTATGCTTAAGGCAATTATGAGAGGTATTCAGACCCTGCTGCCAAAAAATGATAAAAAACCCAGAGGAGAGAAGACTTTTCGGTCACCTCAGTAGAGAGTTACCTCAAATTACTGCATTATGCTTTGAGTTGCATATCGCATATTCACAGTTGCAGGATGTCATGTTGTATTGCATCAGTCAGTGGCATGAGTGATCAGTTTTCTTATTTTAAGCCTTTAAAATGCTTTTATCTTTTAAAAAATGAAGCTTGTCAGGTTTACAGATGTATGTGCACTCATGGCATAAAAGCACATGAAATAACTCATCTGACTCTTCTGTAGTTTCATTTCGACTTTAGGCTTCAGCATATCGGACAGAGGTATTCTTCTGAGATTAAAGATTTTCAATTAAGCTTTATATTGATTCCAAATTGGCTTTGTCATGCAGTCTATAAGCGTCTGGACTAAATATTGATGTAACTGTAGCAAAATGTCAATATATAATCAATTTCTTCATTTGACAAATATCACATATTTTACATGAATTGAACTGCCCTTTACAAATGTGCTCTAAATAAGCTCTAATTAATGCTGAAGTGAAAATGCACACGATTGGTGACTTCTGAGGAGAGTTGGTTGCGCTGAAGTTTATTTGAGGGTATCAGAGCAGAGGGGGTTGAATACAATAATGATGATGTACAAATCTGTTTTGGTTTATCACATAAAATCCCAATAAAATACAGTGAAGTATGTATAATAAAAAAGTGAAAAGGTTCAAGGGTTATCAATGTATTTTTAAGGAGAATCTGGTTAATAATTAAATTTGAGTCATTACCTGTTGAGATATGGAGAATCCTATTATTATATCCCCCTCCGGAACCTCCCAGGACACGGTTGCTGAGTCGGCTCGTAGGTGCATGACAGACACGTTGACCGGGGCCGGGGGCCGGTCTGCGGGAAAGAAGACAGTAAGAAAGAATCTTAATTGTAAACAGTCAAACAATAAAAAAATGTAGATCTATCACTTTAAATAATTTACATAAAAGAGATTAATGAAATCAGGAAATACTTGTTGATTTGTCAGAACATGATAAACGTTAGAAAAGGTTCATATTTTATATCTGCATTTCACAGAAGATAAGAGTCAAATATTCAAACGATGGGAAATATGGAAAAATCGCCCAAGGTCAGCTGGACAAAATATGGACACAAGAAGATTATTTTTGGCAACATTACAAAAGATCTGACAAATTTTGGTTTGTAATGCTGCAATGGAAAAGGAGTCTATTATTTGGACTAGAAGTCTCACGAAGTCTCTAACTTTGTTGCAGCTGGGATTTTAAGATCTCAGCTGCATGTTTTAAATTTCTCTGGGGTACACATTTAAAATGATTTCTGACTTCAACAGACATTACCTTAGCCATAAAATCTAATAAGCTATATTGAGGAGGTACAACTATTTCTGAAAGTGTGTTTCAGGCACTTAGGCCATTCCAATCTGAGGGAGCTAAAATGTGTGAAAGAACTACAGAAGTCATTGATAAATTAAGCAAACATCTGTTTAGCCTTCATTTTTAATCTGGCTCACATATAATGGTTTACTTCAAGTCCACATGCCTCAGACAGGGTGAGTTTCCTTTCCCCTTTATCACTTTGTCGTCATCTGTCACAGTTTGGTTGGCAGCAAACATGCATGCTGCAAGAAAGGGAACAAAAGCCTGGGAAGAAGCGAGCCAAAGGTAAAAGGGGCGACAGTTTTAACAGAGGAGTCTGTGCAGCAATGTTGTCTCTGAGCGATCACACAGGTTCAGATGGACAGGAAAGATGGGATTGGCTGTAATCAGCAGAGGTTTTGGTCAGGGCTTTTGTGTTTACTGTGTGTCTTATCAAGATTGTGAGCTGTCAAATTAAGCTGTGGAATACTATTACAAGGCTTGTAGAAATCGGACAAATGGGAAGAAATTACAAGAAGTCAAATATGAATGACTAACACTTGGAATCTAATGGTAGACACATTTAAAATATTGTCACTTTTTGTGATCAGAGAATAATTTGTCCAGTCAATTTTGTGAATAACAGATTAAAAGATCAACAACTTAGCAATAAAACCATTTAATGTCATTCTATTTTCCTTTTTGGTTGTTGTACTTTTGTCTATTTTATCTTGGAAAAAATCATGTTAATCAGGCCAAAGGATGCAATCGATGCTAATTTGAATCTACTCAGGTCAGGTCAGGGCACAGTATCTTCTATGTATCTAATATATTTCCCTCACAGTGTATATTTCCCTCACAGTGTAATACCAAGCTGTTAGTGTCAGGAATCCAGGGACAAAGACCTCACTTTTACTAAATACAACATGTTGCCCACAGCTGTATTAAACATATGGGTAACGTAAAATAACAGAAAATAAGTTGTATTTTTGAACTATCTGCAAGCAGCATTCCTTAATGCCATCTATGAGGCACAGTGGTGTTAAGATTTGAAGCTTCATATTTTTATTGTAATCTACTTATGTGTATTTACCACAAAAACAGAAATAATTAATTATTTTTTGTTTTATATATTTCACTGAAAAGTAGTTGAATCTATCTAACACATTTGTTTGGCAACTAATTCCAGACAGAAAACAGTTCATTTTGTGAAAGTATGGCAGCAACAGCAATAAATGGTTAATAAAGAAATAAAATAGGAAAATCATCAGTATGTTATGCTACGCGCCACAGATTTTTTTATGTACAAAATATTCAATTGACTGCAAACACTTTTGTTCATGTAAAAGGAGGAAAACTGTCAGCATTTGTGTCTTTGAGGTGGCAGTTTATTTTTCTGATCATATTTTCTTTTGCTTCTAAGGAGGCAGACCTGAAAACATGGTGGCACATTTACCTGCCATAGTTCTGCTTGTCAAGACAGACTGTGAAGAAGACTGCAGGAACAATAATGAGTTCTGAATATGGAGCAGTACGTCAACGTTCTTCCTCATAGGTGTTTAAATTTTTCATGTAGCAATCCAGCTAACGCTATATGCACCTTCCTTTCTTTGGTAATGCCACAGTTTTTTTTTTTTTTTTTTTGTGAACAAACACCATTATACTCTAATTGTCATCAGTGCTTGTCTTAAAGCGAGCCCTCAGCAGGAACAGGTGCAACATTTATTTAGAGGAGGACACATTCATTTATCTTTTAGCTCGCTGTCCTTTCGATAATGAGAGTTGCAGTCAGCTAGACATACGTGCAAACGCAGCTGCTATCCGTGATGCATTGCTTGTTCGTCTTTCAGTGGTGAGGAAAGAAGTAATTGCTCAGTAAAAGAAAGGTGAAGACTTATCGCAAACATTATCCTGTGACCTTACTGTTCTCATATTAGTTTATTCCAGAGCAAATCCTCAAGAATTCTTCTGCAAAATTACGGTTTGTTGGAACACTTGGATGTCAAGTATTTTTAGCATTCATAGTAGTATTTCTCAAAATGTGAATTATTCGTAAGGAGGTTTATAAAGGCAAACAAGTTTATGAATTTTTGGTCTTCTTGTCAACAGTTTTTCCCCACTTCACCTTATCCTGTTTAGTCTTGCAGCAGAAAAACTTGTCACAGCAGACACCTATGTTGGAGGGATGCTGATGTTTTTCTGGCATCGACTAAGCCCCACAACGCACACCGTGTTATGTAAGATCTGAAATTAAAGAGCAATATGTCTCAGAGGACACGGTCTGTGTTGGTGCGAAATAAATGGTTCGACCCACCAGGGATGTGGGAACGCTGCCAGGATGAATCACAGCCTATAGCGAAAGCCCAGTGCATTAAGTAGAGTGCACATGGAGAAATTGTGAAAGTGCTGCCGGATCTTTGGATGGCCGCAGAGCTCCTGGAAGGGGGCCCAAGAGGAATTTGTTGGAGTAAAACATCAAGCTGTGTCATCTTATATTTCTGACCTCTGCGTTTGCTTGCAAAGCACAGTGGACTGTAAGTTTATCGACCGCATATACATTCACTTTGAGACTGACAGGATATGTTTTACGGTCCGATAATAGAGGCTTTCATTTATAGCAAAGGGACAGCTTTGACAGATTTTTGGTGATGGACAACTTAGACAATCGGATAAAAATATTAAAAACCCCACAGATCATATTGTATTTATTACAAGTACATTGAAATTTTTAAATCTGTGGAAAATGTACTAGTCCTGTGGCTAACTATTGGCACCCAAAACATTTCTCATAAAATGAGCCAACACTAAAATAATAAAATAAAATTAATAGCATTTTTTGTGATGAATTCTAGAAACTTTTGACTGTTAATAATATTATAAAGAATATAAGATGGTGCAAATTAACATTTTAATTTGCCACTCTTCACAACAGGAAAGACAAGAGTACATGTCTAAAATCTGCTGATGTGTATTGAGTTTTACAACAAACAAAATGTGTGTTTGTGTGCTGCATCTGTTTTATGTTGGAGGAAGGTTGCTGGATTAATCACTCGTCACTAAACAAGAGGACTTTAGTTTAAACATGTAGCCAAACCAGATACACTGTAGGTCGGGAAGTATTAAGATTTTTCTAATTAATACTTGACTGTGAGTTTTGAAAAGCATTAATAGCCCGAGTAAAGATGTATAAAAATATCAAGTTGCATCTTCTCAGTCTGAAATGTATGAAGATTCCAACCTTTTCATTTAAAAACTTTTAATGAAAAGGCTGTTTCCATCACAATCACTGGTACCCTACAAGAAAGGCTTTAAATTACTCCGAGCTCTACATAATCAATTATTAAAGACAACTAGACATGTGGCAATCAAGCCAGAATGCACTTATGCATGGAGGGGAATTTTGGGACCCTTAAGTCTTCAAAACAAAAATGTAAGCATTTTAAATTCAGTGACTTTAATAGGCAAAGAAAAGTTTTTAACTTTAAAACGTTTAACTGTAAGTCTCTGGAAAAAGCTTAAATCTATTGCTAGAAACATGTTTTTGAACATTTGAGGCTTGTATTTTAGTGCATCACATTTTTCTTTAATAACAGAATTGGTCTTGTTCTGCACATCTGGGATGTTTTTCTCCACTGCTGTTGCAGTGTGTTAAAGGCTGAAACTGCTAATGCTTCAAACTAAAAATGAAGTCTGACGTGAATTAATACTTTGCTCGTTATTCAGTGCCCTTAAAGGGACCATCTGAATTATGAGTTCAGTAACAACACAATAAAACTCTCACAGTTACATTACTCATGTTGCTTAAACTCCATTTAAGAGGCAAAGATTTTTTTTTTTTTACCCAAAAGAAGGACCTTATGTCACTGTATAAAAAAATCTGATTCCAATTGCTTCTGAGATAGTTTAAAGGAGTGTTTAAAAAGCAATCCTTTTCCAATATTATGAGGTAGCTGGTGTGTCCCAGTCCTCCATCGGTATTTACTCATATTCTGTGGTGGAAAGTCAAAATGGTTCTCTCTCCTCTGCCAGAGGTTGCCTTACAGCTGCTCGCAAGCCCCACTGTTGCAAGTCACCTGGCAGTCGGGTTCAAGTAATATCATGCTGGTTTAATCTCATCTAAAGTGCTGCCTCCCCAAGTGTTACCATTGAATGCTTCTTCCCTAAATCCATTGCACTTCCAAACTTTTTATGCGAAACAAGGAGATCTATTGGGATCGGTCTGTAAATGGCTTACTCTAGTCCAGAAAGAAGAAACCGAAGCAACATTAAGCAATAGCGGCTTATATTTTCCCTATATGGCTTTTCTAATTGCTACGATTTTTTGCTATGTGTTTACAATCCTGACAGGAATAGGTGTGCTTACTGTCATTTCTGTTTGCAGAGCCAAACTTTCTCTCACTGATCGAGACGCTGTCAAACAGCAGTAGAACCGGCTGGATTTAAATGCCTGTCTAATGTGTGCATTTCTTCCAATTCAAGTCTGTGGCTTCCTCAGGTGAACATCAACACCTCATTCATCCCCAAAAGAACATGCAGTACCATTGCAGATTCATAAGCAGGTCTCTTACAACCAGGGTCTATAACCTTATTGTAACCATCAATCACAACATATGTTTACAGGTGTTTAAAATGTATCTCATGTGACAGGAAATAAAATGATGGCAACACCAACAAACACTGCCTTTCATTTAAACTGATTTGGTTCGCATCCAGTGCCGCTATTTGTCAAGAACGCGTCAGCAGGTTTCTGAACAACATATTGCCAATTTGATTTGATCCTGGCTATCCAATAAATGCAATAAATCTTAAATAACATTTGTATCAAGCCTGAGGCTCCGCTTGGGACTTGTGGACAACTAAAGAGTTTTGTTTGAATGTAAATTAAATATGTATAGTGATCGTTGGAATCTGTTGTAGAAAATGTGAATTCTAGATTCTGATTTATTATTTGCAATCATTTTCAGTTTTGTATGAACATGTAATTTTACATAATGCAATTTTAAAGATCTTTAGCATGTCAGGGATTCTGATGATGACTGAAAAACTTGGTCAAAAAGCCATCCACAGTGTGGCATATTTTGCAGGAATTATGCAGTTTTTTAAAAAACTTTCAAGGTAATTACATAAGCTCAATAAATCCAACTCTATAACCTCTGGGTCATATGGATCTGTATGTTTCTGGACAAGCATGTTAAAATTCAGTTGATTTGCTTTCAAAGGGTGCCTTTGAATACCATGCCAAGTGAATACACTTCTGAATATCATATTTGTGATTTAAAGAGCCACTTTTCCTGCTCTTGACAGCAGCGTAGGAGACTGATCAGAGATGCTTCTAATATCATGTGTCAGAGCAGAATATTGGAAAAATGTTTTTTGAGGATGACAGCAAACACCCCCGCACAGAAACAGTGACGTGCCAAGGCCGACTCTTTCACAGGTTGCACACGGTTCCACCGAGAGGCAAAGAAGGATGACATAAAGGTAGACAGAGACATACAAAGACAAATATGCTGCTGTAGGCATGCGAGCATAGTCACAGAAAATGGCTTAAAAATACAATTCAGATCTAAACTTTCCAAATGAGCAACCAAATGGATCAGGTTTAGGATTTTGTTTTCCTCTCCTGCAATTGTTTGAGTGGTATTTCTCATCTTTTATGTAAACAGGCTTCTCAAAATCACCTTTATGTGTTTATTTGTGTATTTTCAGTTAAATATGTTGCTTTTAATATTGTCTCAAGAAGAATGACTGAATATTTGATGCAACAGAAGCACAGGCACTAATGTTATATACTGAACAACATAAAGGTAAGGATTATGCTTCATATGTGTAATATACTAAGTTCAAACCTAAAAGAAACATTTTGGGTTTGTTACAAAACAACAGACGAGTATGTGGAAAACCACATCATTCCTGCTGTTGAACTTGGTGCAGAATTTGTGATGTTTTGAGTCTGAAACATTTGAAATACCAGGACAATTTAGATAATTATCTGGTTGAGATTTTCAACTGGAAAGATAAGGGTCATGCTTGGATTTTTCAGTAAAATAACTATGTAGAACATGTCTAGAACACGGAAATTACTTGTAAGGCACCAAACAAATATTCTTCCTCATTGTCCAGATGGAAATTTGTGGAGAAAACCTGTGGCACTGAGCTGAAAAGATGAGCGCATATGGGAAGCCCTGGAATACAGTGAAATGTTAAAGGGGATCATTTAGGGTAACATAGAAACCTTACTAATTGTGTCACAAGCGATTTTGTTCAAAAATATAAAAGAAAGCTTAAATTCAATTTAGTTTTGTCCTTCCATAGTTTAAAGTAACCAATACAAAGACACGGATTTTGCATAAAAGAATGTTTCCGATATTCAGGTGCCAACAAGGCAAGGAGTATAAAGCCTCATCCTAAATATATTTAAGTCACAACTTACAATTGGGTTATGTTTTTATGTAATGAGGTGCACACAAACGCAGATGGGTTTGCAATACTTACTAGCTCCTACCAAGAAGACGTCGCTGCCAAAAAGCAACAGGAGCATGGAGTTGACCAAAACAATCAGACGACCCATGTCTCGATAAGAGGTGGCTGCTCTTCTTAGATAACAAAAGGGGATAAAACACTTATCTTTAAAGTGCAACAAAACCTCAACTGTTCATTTTGCTTTTCAACACATAAAGGTGTTGAAAATCCTCAGGGGATGAACGGTCCCCGGCTGAATCTGGCTGGATCTGGTCAGTCGGCAGATAACCTGTGAAACAACGTAACGCACGATGCCTTCAGAAACATTTTTTTCCCCCTCACTCAGTCTTTATCAATCCAGCGGCTCCTTCTTCCATGATCTCAAAACAGTGAACAACGTGGGAGGGTTCGTTCGTCTAAATCCGGCGGCAGAGACTGCGGAGCTCCATCATCCTTGAGGTCATCGATCATCGGTGCGCACAGGTGCGAGAAAGTCGTGGCAAAAAAAAAAAAAAAAGATGGACAAGAGGTAAAAATGGACCTGACTGGCAGATTGAGATCCAGAACCACGCACAGCGCCTATAAGTTTACCGACTGTCCACCCTCCTTTCCGCTCACCGCCTCTGTCTCTCGCATCTGAACGTGTTCATTCACGGCATCGGTTCCTTCTGCGGTACTTTCTGTTGAACCCTAACAAGCCAGTAACGTCACAGGTACCTAAGTCCAGCACACACGCAAGGACGCGCCGATTTATCATCCACGTGTTACAAGCGGAGACTGTTTGCATCGACTCGCTTGCCACTGACACCGACTATTGCGCAACGTGGGGAGACGACACTTGCAACACTACGTGCAGAGACATGTTGCTAGACAACTGACATAGAGCACATTCTCAGTGAATTAAGCTGTATCCAATTTAAATGTGAGCAATGCACTTCTACATTTACTAAACCCAAGAGAAAACATTATTCGCTTGGTGCACAAGCAGCAGCAGGTCGATGCGCCTCTCACCCTTCGTGCACTGCGCAGGGCCCTAAGACACGCCGTGTAATCAGGAAGATGAATCATGATGATAAGCTGAGTGCTTTGCCTCGCCGGAGCATCGTTTGAAAGCAAATTGCTCGTTTGAAAAGAAATGGCGATCAAACCCCCCCGTGGTTTTGTACGAAAGCTTTGCGTTTTATACCACAAATGAAGTCTCATTATAAACTCAGTAAAATCTGATCACATGTATTTATCAGCACTCAGCTGCTTATTGGTTGAGAAATTATTGCTACTCTTAACAATTTGAGGTTTTAGATGACTGGTGGACGCTTATCTGCTCTTGATGTGTCTGACACAAGCAGATTTGAAGATAAAAAAAAAAAGTGCGCTACATTTGCCATGACCACTGTCTATCTCTAGTCAACATTCTGTGGTATTCATCTCTGAAATAGAGTTTGACAGCAGCTTTGAAAGTTGAGCGATTTTCTTCTGTAAATGTCAGAGGAATGAAAAGTATGATCTTTCATTATTAAGTTATTTCTCATTTTGTTCAGATTTGTTTCCTTTTTCCGTTTGTGCACAGAGTTCCATTTCTCTTGCTTTTTTGTCAAACTTGACTGAAAAACTTTGAACCAGACTCTTGGTTTAACAATCCAAAAAATATACTTTTCAGTTCATGTAGCTGCCAGTCAGTGATTTTGTACAAAGTTTAAATCTTATGTGACGTCTCAGATGTTACTTGCATATGTATTGTTTTCATTTAGCGGATAGTTAAAAATAAATTAGCACACCTGCAGAAGTTTTGCCACATTTTAACCTCTTTTTGCGTCATGTTTGAAAAGAACCAAAGTTCAGAGTTGCTGTGGTTTAACACGGTGTTTCCCATGGCTCCCATTCCTACTGGTTTTAGATGTGTCTCTGTTCTCCAGTCCTATAGTGCTGCTGAAGCCTGTTAACCACCCAGTTGTTCAAGCCAGATGTGTGGCAGGACATTGAGTTGGGTTATTTGCTTGTGAACTGATGCCCTTCTCTGCTTTATGTCACAACTATGTAGACAAAATTGCCGTTCTAAACAAAATAAATTATACCCGGACATAAACTTACTTATTTTATGCAAAAATAACAGAGTGAAACCCTTCAGTAAGTTCATGTTTTTATTAAAGTACTCTGTTAAACCAGTGGTTCCCAACTCTGGTCCTCAATTAACCCAACATGTCCCTTGAGTGTGCATGAGTTGTATTCAAAATTATTTTACACTGAAACCTAAAATGTTGTTTAACAATAAAGCTGACCTCAGTTTATCCCTGTCAGTCTGAATGACTTATTTCCAGCATCAGCATCTATCCAATATAAAGTTATATTTAAAGATGTATCGACTTCGAAAGATTCATGTTTATTTAATGAGGATAAGCACCAAATCACATCTGCCTGACGAAACTGCATGAAATAGTGACTTTCGCTCAGTTTCCTCCTCTGATTCAGAGATGTTCACATTTTGTTATTCTTTGACATGGAATATTAAATCAACTGGTTTAATTTATTGCAGTTAAACTGAGTTTAGTTCAAAATAAAATCAAACAAACCACAGACACAGGGGAATATAATAATTGTCTTAGTCACCTTATTTCTGGCAGTGCAGCTGCAGAATTGATTATGTTAACAACTGTTGGTTGCACAAATAGCAGCTGCGTCAAAACTATTTATTTTGCAACATATCAATGTGAAGCAAGCTGTGTTTTTGAGTTAACTGGAAGACAGGTCAGCTGATGTTCTGGTTTTATGTCGGTCACACGGCTATGGTCATGTCCCTGCAAAGCTTGGACATTTTTCTGTTCGCTGCTCCTCAGAAAAAAAGCTTGATTATGCCTGCTACCAGTGGATTATTTTCCATTGGTTGTATGGAAATAAATACATTTTTAAAAAGTGTTGTATTTAAATTCCATGCCACCACCAAAAGGTCCTGCAGCTCATTTCACTTGTGGAGTAAAACTGAGGGATAGTGAAAGTCCTTATCACACTGTTTGGGCTAACAAACCATTAAAAAAGAAGCCTTACAAGCGCTACTGACAGCAGATCAAGATTGGTTTTAGGTTTCAGAAATAATGAATAAAGTGATTTCATCCCATAAGGATCAGTAGTAAATCATAAACCAGTAAAACATCCCAGTCTGCCCATCCTCATCCATTTCCCCACCTACAGCAGAAAATTACAACTTACAAATTGTAAAATATGCAACCAATATGCTTTCAGGAATTTAAAAGCATATAATAATCAATACCCCTTCCCTCACTTAAGATAATTTTCTGTCATCTTGCCAGATTTGGAAACCAAACAAAATTTTATATTTTTACCCCCATTGTAACAGAAATTTAAATTAAGTTAGGTCTATGGGCTATACAGAACATATTCATTACAATTTTTGAACAAAATAATTCCTACATTATGATATTTCAACTGTCAGATAAATCAACTGTAACAATGAGTTGATTTAGAGCCTCCTGTCACTTTAAATGCACATAAGTTGCTGCTGGCCACGCCCCCACCAACTCAACTTACACCCCCATGGAAATGGCTGCAAACAGATTTACAGTTGGACAGAGGTATCTTTGATTCTGTCAGACTTAGAAGAAGAAGAAGATGAGCTCTGAAAAGCTTCAAGTTAATCTGTAATAAATTCTAAGAGTCTTGCATGTCAAATTCTGCAGAAGAGAAAGATCCAAATAAATATTGTAATGTTACACAGAAGTAATTTGAATCAAGCTGATTTTTATAAGAAATGGAGACTTGCTCAAGACCTTTGTAGTAGCAGAAATATTCTATTTTCGGCTGTAAGCCTGTATCAGCCTTTAAAGCGAAACGTTTCAGACGAGATTTGTGAAGAACAAAAAATACTTTCACCTGGCATGAGGATGACCTTCAATGTTAATTACTTTGTGTTGAGTATACCAGGAGAAGATCTTCATAACTTGAGTGAACAAAATGTCAAGGATTTAATGAATGACAAAAATTATTAACAGAAGTCCTCTTATTACCCCTATGTAGTTATAATTCGCATCTTAAAGTATTCATCTTAATGACATTTATGAAAGACATTGGCTGCAGCGGTGCGGACCTGTGCAAGAATCATGAGCCAGCTTTCATTTCTCAGTGTGCTGCTTCAGAGGAGGCAGATTTTTCTCAAAGAAATTGTTAGAAAAACTGCAAGACCTTCAGAAGACCTGTAGTATTGTTTAGTAGTTCAAGCAGCTTCAACTCCTTGGTAACAAAATATAAAGAGATGAAGGCTGGCTAAAAAGTTGACCCACGATGTCTGCTTCATACTATAGGGTTAATAAGCAGTGGTTAATAAGCTAGCATGCGTAGCATTAAAAAAAATACTTAAAAATGTGTTTGTTTTTTTCACTACAAATGCATATTGAAACATACAACTTCTTAATTTTTGACTGGATTATCCATTGCTCTGAACATAGAAGCAGCTCTGAATACTTATATTAGATATATTGACCTTCTAAAGAATATATTTCTGCATGCAGATCAGAGACTTTCTTTTGAGCAAAAATAATTTATAGCATTTAGGAAACAAGACAGCACGCTGGGAAAGTCTGCAGTAGTTTAAAGCAGCTTTCTATCATTTCAACTGAGCGGTTTGGACTCCCACTCATCCCGATTAATTAGATGTGGCCATTTCTGAAACAAGCCGTCCTGCAGTGCTCAGCAGTAACATTACAAATAGAAAATCTGTCAGAACCTTAGGTGGTTATTGCATCGGCCAGCAGTAACCTCCAGCACTTTTTGTCAAATGCACATATAATTAAAATTTCCCTTGTCCGTAAATGTCCTTAACTCATACAGAGCACAGGTTTGTTGGTGAATTGCCAGACATATTTAGGACACCTTTGGGGGTTATTGTCACCTAAATGTTTAACTTTTTGATAAGGTAAATCAATATATAACACCTGTCCAGCACCTGGATTACTAAAGATTTCCACTAACGGCTAAAACAACAGAATATGAGGGAAATGTATCTTCATCAAAGCTTTTCTAAGTAAAGCTGTCAGCTAATAAGTAAAATCTACTTTCACTTGGTTTTTATCTTTTTTTTAAATTAATTGTTTGATAAATTATTATTACAGAACTGCTGTTGGCATAATTCTGTATAAATCTTTCACTGGTATTTCTGGCAGAATTGGTAGTTCTCTTAAATTAGCACAAACCCAGTTTCCAAACGCAGTCTGCGCATTTTCAAAATGTTTGAAGTTAGGTCTTTTGGGAAACTGTTCAGATAGTTTAATGTAAGCTTTTCATAAAGCAAATCTTGATCAAAGCTTTTGATCACTGGAAATTTTGAGCAGCCAGTTGTGTCCATTTGACCCAAACTGTTACCCAGACATGAAAGGAAATCATTATGACTTCATAAAACAAATTCTATTTAAATTTAAATTGCTACCTTGCTCTCTAGTCTGTTCAAAAATGGTTCCAGTGTGCATAACATTTGATATTTTAAGTAGATTATAGTAGACGATAGTCCCTGGGTTACATTCAGAAAAAGGAAATAAAACTCTTGGATAAGAGTCCTCTCTCCTTCTAGAGCACACACTTGTGATTAATGGACTCCATTAATTTAATGACATCAAAGCCCAGGAGAGATAACATGTTCACAAGGAGCACAATTCAAAGTGAACACAATTGAAAACATCATTGGAAGATGAAAGCCCGTCTCTTTTCATCTGTGGCGACGTGCTTGTTTCTTTCCAGAGGAGGGAGCGGGGCTATCCTGAACAAATGCTAACGATGTGCTGCCTTCTGCAGGGATCAGTCATTAATCAGTGTGGGAGCCATCATTATTCCCTGCAAGGCACCCGTGATGCACAGACGGGGTGGTCCTAACCTAAACGTCTCATCGTGTTGTCTTAACACGATGAGACGTTTCAAACTGGAGGGTCTGATCACTCAGTCAACTTGGGTGATTTTACGGCAAGGTTAAAAATTTATGAGTAAGATATCTATTGTATTTTTGACAAACTCAGATCTTAATCCAATTGAAATGTTGGGTAAAGATTTCATTGTAAACGTCTCACAACTAAAAGTGAGGAGTGGGGCAAACTTTCCTCAGACTCATACCAGCGACTATATGTTGCTTTAAGACGTTATTTTAGCTAACATTAGGGTAACATTACCATTTGGAGCGAGGTCTCCTAACCTTTTCTCCAATAAGCAAACATATTTTTGTTGATGTCTTTAATGAGCAAGGCGAGGTCATTTACTTTAGTCTTCAGTGTCAGCATTTAAATAATCAGCCCATTGACATATTCCACCAGCTTTCTGACACAAAACAAGCAAAGATGATTTGCAATATTAAAACTAAACTAATGTAGTACATTGCTTCTTACTGTTCCACCTGAGTGATGCAATGCATGCTATCAACTCACAAACAGCTTAATTTACCTTAAGGACTTAATGTATAAAGAAAATCTAATAGTTGGCATATAATCATCATCTAACTTTAGTTCAGTTATATGAACAAATGAAATGCTTCGTACTTGACAGTCTGATTGTTACCACACAACGTGTTTGAAATCATTGTCTGTTTTTGTTAGGAATATTTACCTTTGCCTTAGTCAATTATGCAAGTACTCAGATGTTAGAAACAGTTGCCAAGAATATTTATTAATTCCTCTTGGAAAGTCTTAAGCCATGAGAGATTCACTTTATTATTGCTTATGTGTTTATTTTCATTCAAGGGGGTGAACTAAGTAAAACCTTTGTCCAAACAACATGCCCTGATTAAAGAGTGCAAGTAAAAGAAGATTCAAAGAGCATCTTTTCACCACAATCTGGCTTTTGACTGGTAATGCTCTGGGTTTTTCACCTCTCTATGGAGCATTGTGTATGTGAGATCAGGTTGGCTCAAACTTAAAATAATTGAAGTTCGGACCCATTGATAAGAAACTCCTTAGATCCCAAACCCATTGATAGCATGTGATCAATTTCCATAAAGCCGGATGGATAACCAGAAGACCAATTGTGATCGACTCCTTGCAGTAATGAGACAAGAATGGATCACCATCAGTCAGCATTTGACCTCGATGTTCCCATTACAGGAGACACACAAACATCCACCTACTCTCGTACATCTCATTTTGTACCTCCAATTAACCTCTCAGACATTAGCAGGAAACCAGAGTACCAAGGAAAACAACCTTTGCACACATGAAGAGAGCGTGCAGCTCCACTGGCAGAATACAACCAGTGTCTTCTTATTGAAAGTTGCAACTACTAAATATTAATATTCTTAATATTCTCTAAACTCATAGTTTGTTTTCAGTTCAGTTAAGTTCCATTGAGTATCATTTGTATACAGTTAATGACAATATCCATCTGCAACGCCGTCGATTCTAATTGTGGTCAGATAAAAGCATTTAAACCCTTTTAAAAAAATGTGTTTACACAAAGAAAAAAAAACTATCACATTCAGAAAAAGACAGGCTTCCTGAATTAATTCAAATGTTACCCAGTAAAGCCCATTTAAAAAGGTATCATGATGTAGTATGTTCAAATGACCTGATTTACTCTAAAAGTCTCATCTGCTTTGTAGGTTACTCTGACATGGAGACATTATTTAACGTTGTATGACACTGACCCCTGCAGGATAACACGATTCCTGCAAATTTTGTACATTTTTGTTTAATACTTTTGAATTGTACTGTTTCTTATTGCTTCACATTTGTTTCGTTTTTTTTTTTTTTTTTTTTTTTTTTTTTTTGCCAGTGTTCAGCAAAGTTCAATAACAATAATAATAACAGTAGTAGTAATAACAGTAATAAATGTAGTTAATAGAACATTATAATTGTGAAATGTTCATTTTGTAAAGAAAAAATGAGTATTTATTGTACCTTTTTTTTAAACTCAGTATTACCAACCAAAGTTTAGCGGACACAACTGAGGCCCTTTTCTCTACACTGCAGTGTGAGGAATGCTGACTCACACTTCCTGTTTCCTGTTCATTCAGGAAATGGCAGGCTTTAACCCCTAGTTGCCTTGGCCATTTCTTTGAGATACTGTCAGTAACCCCAAGGGAGATTTTTAGCTAACCGGATCCAAACTGCAGCAATTTAGTGTAATTTGTTAGTTTTGAATGCTTCCTGCGGATTGAGCTTTACAGGCTTTTAACATTCGGAAAGTAGACGAAGTTTGTTGCACAATCATTTAGTGTTGCCTTTATCTGACACTAAACATCATGAATAATAAAACAAAATTCAGTCAAATGGTATATGTGATGATGCAACCTTTTTTTTTTATTGATTTTATCTAAGCATGGAATCCTGAGCATAGAAACACAACTTGTTCTCTTAAATCCTGAAAGAATCATTTGAAAGTTCTCCCTTTGAAATATTTTGAATGCAGATCGAAGAGAAAACCTTTGCAATTACTATTTAAGATATCACAAAGAAACCGTTGCATTCTGAGTCTTCAAAGATTCTGTGATGATCCGTGTTGACTGCAGATCTGCTGGCTTACAACTAACTGAATGCCAACAATAATGTAAAAAGAATCAATTTCTCTTTTCTAAGCCTTTTTATTCTCAAATACAAATAAATGAAGAAAAATGTGCAAAGTATTGTGCATGTAATCTCAGGTCGTTGCTTTCAGTACCATGCAAATGTTTCACCTCCAGCTTTACCTCTGTTGCATTCCCCAGGTATAAAAGCTGTTCATCATGTGCATGACCCCGTTGTATTTCCAGTCCCTTGTTAATCATATTATAAACATACATATATCATCACTAGTGATACCTACTCACATTCCAATGCTTCAATCAAGAACAAGAGACATCAATAACTGAAACAAAGTCAACATAACGAAACCGTGTTGAAGTTCTTGACTTTGATATGTTTCCAACGCTTGTTTCCGTTGTAGATAGTAGAACCCAAAAATAACTTTGACATTCACAGAGAGGAATTATTTTATATAAATCTTTTGTATGAGTCACAGCGGAGATGACAGGTGGGTTCAGCCATTTTTGACAAGAAGAGTGTCTCTTTTTTTTTTGCCACCTATGGATGCATCTCATATTGTCCCTCTGTGGCAATAAAGAAATCGTTGAGAGTGCTATGTAAATAATCAAAAGTGGGCCGTTCCTCAGGCTTTTGTTTCCAGCACACCATCATGATCTCGTAAAGTTCCTCAGGGCAGTCTTCTGGCCGTGGCATCCGGTAAAACTTGTCCAGGTTCCTGATCACCTCTGGATTGGTCATTCCTGGTTGGAGCCAAGAAAAGCCAAATTAACCTCACAAGTTTTTTGTGATTGTATATATAGTAATATGTGTCGTAGAATACATAGTCATGGGAAATTATCAGTATCTCAAAAGGTAATGGCTTCTAAATCTCAAAAATAGTTGTTTCTTAAGGTTTTTACCAGGGTAAGGTATTCTTCCATATGTGACAATTTCTGTCAGTAGGATCCCAAAGGACCAGACATCTGATTTGATGGTAAACGTGCCATAATTGATAGCCTCTGGAGCTGTCCATTTAATGGGGAACTTCGCACCTGAATATTGAAAAAAAAAAAGATAAACAGGTTGCTGACAAGTAGCTCGAAAGATCCTGTAACACTTTATTATTTTAAGATTCACCCAGTCATCACAGAAACAAGGTTTCCACAAGACTATTTTCTGGCAAATGTGTAAGACAAGCGTCATATCTCCTCAGTGAGGATTATTTTTAGTTCATAGTTGTCATGCAAGTGCTGTATTTACTGATGTATTGTTTCAAATCATCCCATAGCACGAATCTGAGAAATGTTGAATTTGAGATTTAACTTATTTAATTGATATTTGAGTTCTCTGAAACATTTTTTAGAAAACTAAGCTGTTTAGAGGATTCTAAGGATTTTTCCTTTGAAGCACAGAAATGAGAACGGGATCAAGACTTTTACACAGCACATAAAATAAGTTAAAAAATATATACTAATTTAAACATTGTAAAATTACTCATCTAAGCACATACAAACTGTGCAGCATATTTAGTTTGATTGTACAATACTTGAAGATTCAGTTATGATCAGTTTCTACTCGTACTTTACCTTCTTGTGCTGTGTATTCATTCTCAATAATCCTGGCAAGGCCAAAGTCAGCTATCTTGCAGTGGAGCGTCTCGCTGACCAGTATGTTCGCTGCGCGAAGGTCACGGTGAATATAGTTCTTCTTTTCAATGTATGCCATACCCTCGGCTATCTGTCATAAAGGAGACAGAGAAGTGCCATTGGAGTTGTGTGCTCTAATGCAAATTTATGTGACTAATATACGACTAGATATGTCACAAATATTTATTTACCGTCATCCGGATAAAGAGACAGCAGTTTGTAGACAGTGTGTGTTTGTTTTCTCTTGGCAACATTTGTAGGATGTGTTATGGGTTCAACAATTGGGCTTTCAGTAGTGAGAGGGTTTAATAGGATGTGATAATTATAAGGAAGTTGAAAGTTTGGGCGAAAAATACTTTTGTGTAGGGTTGACGGAGGGGAGGGGGGCTTAGTGTAGATGGAAAAATAGCACAACTTCCTGTCCGGATGTTAATAATTGACGTAGCGCGATGCTTTCAAGCCAGTTGAGCGAAAAGCCCCGCCACAGAAACCACACAACGACTGCTGACAGTTTCCATGTGTGTTCACATCATAACTGGTGTCAAAGATTATACTATAAAAATGTTCAAAGCTTTACTATAGAACAGTGAGAGTATAAATAGGTTTTGAGGTAAAAAATAAAATAAAAATTTTTAGTTGGATGGCGACTGCAGAAATCAAACACCTAAATATTGATGACATGCAGTTACAGACAAAAGCTACAGCAGTTGGAGTAGCAATGACAGAACCGCTCATATGTTATCAGGGAAATGTTGCATTACAGGATAAAACTTTGAGATCATGTAATTAAAGCGGTTTTCCCACCTGCGCTGACATGTCGATCAATTTGTTCATCTTGAGATTTTTTCCTTCATCGGTTTTTAGAAAGTCAAGAAGGCAGCCTGCAAGAGAGAAAAGGGGACATGATACTATCAGGACAGAAAAACCTCAGCAGATTAAAATGTCATCCAATCACCATTTTGTAGAAATGTTAGTTTATGATCTTTTACATGATGTGATACACTGGAGTGGGATGCAAAGTGCTACAATTTAGTGAGATACTTTACACAAATTCAAGATCTCCAGGCTCTGAGTTAATCATCAACATTCTAACAAGCAAAATTTCATGCCATTTGACGAAATTTACTTTTTGTCAACATGGCATAATAATCTTCAAAATTCATTCAATAATAAAAATTCAAACTGTTTGTCCGCACTATTCTTTTCTAATATGCAGTTAGAAAAGTGTGCATTATCACTCTCCATGACTTAAACATTGTAAAAAATGAAGCTGCAGATTTAAATCTAAGATAGTTTTTTGCACACATGTAACAAACTTATTCTATTTTTCTTCAAATTAAATGAAACTTACAGTCCTGTCAAAGAATCAGCTGATTATCAATAAAAGAAAGTGGCAATTTTCTATATTCTTACTATAGAATTAATTTAATGTGGAAGAGAACGTCGGAACAATCTCAATATTATTCTTGTAATTTGACAGTTAAGAAACAAGTCCTATTGTTTCGTGTCTTATTGCCGTTCCAAAATTTGACTTTTTTGATTTTTGTTTCAGATTTTTGAACAACATTGGCATAAACCTGAATGCAGCACCATCAAGTAGTTGGCAAACAGAGAAACATTTCTCTTGTAGATTAACCTTCTACCTAGTAATAGAAAATGTGCCACAGACTATGTTATTGTGTCACACAGTATTTTCTGTTGAACTTTGAGCGTTGTTTTTTGTCGACCAACAGCGTTTCTTTTCACAGAGACTTAGTGAAAGTATATGCAAACCAATTTACAAGCAATGCTTATCATGCCTGCCATAGCTGACCACACTCTAAATAAATATTCAGATTTAATCCTCTCAGGCTCAAATTACTTGAAAAGACAGGCTAAGTTGTTACAAATCGGCAACACCTGCCTGGAGAGGGTTAACAAAAGAAGAATGAAAAGAAACAAACACAGTGTGTTAATGCATATTGCAAAATATGTGTATTTTACATGGAACTTTAATTTTTCAGACATTTTTTTTATTTAAAGTCTTTCAAATCCCTTTTAAGACTAAATGAAACAATCTGTTTTTGAATTAGTTACTCAAAGGTTCATGACCGGGAAAATGTATTTTTCAGAATACTACTGCATTTTGGTTTCTATGTCTATTTATTTTTCATCTTCTTTTGTTAAAATCTTTGTGACCACCTGCTGCTGGTGGTCAGAGGTCTGGGTGGCGCCTATGCATGGCAGCCTTGTTTTCGCCTCTGACTGCCCCAAGTCAGCTGTGGCTACTATCCAGTAGCTTGCCACCGTCAGCTTGTGAATGTGTGCATCAGTGGGTGAATGGCTGAGTGCAGTGTGAATCGCTTTGGAGTTGTCTGGACTTTAACGAGTCCAGGCAACCCCATTTACCATTTAAGATCAATAATCAATTATTACAAGTAATTTATGTCTTTTCACAGGAGTGCATTATGGCTCCAGCTCAACATACTCTCTTCCCCCATTTCTATAAGAGAAATAATCTCAGAATGTCTGTGTATTCAGCCCTCTGTTTACAACCGTATTAGTATTGTGATTCACAATGTATTCATCTGCAAGCCTCTTGATATTTCTTACCATTCACCATGAACTCGGTCACAATGAGAATAGGCTCTTTGGTGACAACAGCATGGAGTCGTACAAGTCTGTCATGCTGCAGCTGTTTCATGAGGTTAGCTTCCTGAAGAAAGGCCTCAGGCTCCATCGTTCCTTCTTTCAGCGTTTTGATAGCGACCTTCTGGGTGCTCTTGTAGAAGCCTACCAAGGAGATTCATGGAGATGAATTAATTCACTCCCCTTTTTGAGCTCGGGTGGGGGGGCCTTTTATCGTGAAAGGTGTTTTTTTTTTTCTCTCACCCATCCAAACTTCTCCAAACTGCCCAGCACCGAGTTTCTTCACCATTTTCAGCGTCTCTCTTGGAATCTCCCACTCATCTTGAGCCCACGGCTGCTGAGGGGCCTTTTGTTTACAAGGAGCGTATAGTCGAAGACACAACCCGTCTGCAGTACCTGCATGTAAGCGTGATATATGTATGATAACTACTGAGAAAATGTTTTTGTTTCCGTCCGTGACAGCTAGAGGAAAGGTATGCTTGCTTGCACGAGCGCCTTTTATCAGGAGCAGCTGTGCTTTGGCAGACATTTACTTAGTCTATCTTGTGGTTTACTCACAGGAGAGTGAGGACTATCTAAACACACTCACAGGAAATGCAAAATGCATCTTGAGGGTCTAGTTTCCTTGTTTCATTCAAATTCAGATACTGATGTTAAAATTCATAGCAGTGAAAACGACACATTGGTTGTGACAAATAAATTCTGAAGTTCATAGAGGTGTCCATTTTTATGCGATACAATTTTGAAATTATGATGAAAAAGAAATCTTTGCGTGTACTTGAGTTGTAAACTTACGGGTGTAGTACTTCACCAGCTCTTGTAAAGATGGGAAGGTGTTGGAGGGGGAGATATAGTAACCACCTTTGTCCAGACAGCGAATCTTGTAGTGTTTTACCACGTCTCCTTGTTCTTGATCATTGTCTCTTACCGACAGTGAGTACGACCCTGACAGCAAGAACCGAGGGGAACCAGTTTTCTTTGTGAAATCAATAACTGTTTGAAGTCAATGTTCGTATGATGTTTTTGACAGAGCACTGATATTTAAGTTTGCAAGCTCTTACCTTTACAAGTCTCACTCTCTCGAACTAGAAAGGAGCCTGGTTTATTTCCAGGAGCCAGAAGCAGCCGTTCCGTCTCTCTTCGACTCACATCTTTGAAAAACCATCTACGACACAAGACAGTTGGCATATTTTTTTTACTTTCATTATCACAACAGCAGTAATTGCACTTTGAAATGATTGCTATAAACTACCGTAGCACCATCCACTATTATCAGCGCTCCTGATAAAACTTGTAGAAAAGCATGAAAATAAATTACTAGTGTTAAAACCTGAGATGCCACTTGGGGGGTTTGTCCAGACTTGTGAGTCACAGTTGCAGTTGTGTCAAACAAGCATTGCTCTCACTTTAAGTATGAGTATTTTTAGATTTACAGTTAAGTCCAATTTTCCTAGCAGATTTAGTTATATGTTGAACTCAACGCTTCCAGTTTTCAAGAGCAAACAGTTTGAATCGGCCCAGTTAGGATCCTGACTTGAATCGGTGGAGGAAGATAAATGGTGATGTCAGGAGGGCCTTTCAAAGTCATGGAGCTCAAGAGAAGAATAAATTATCAAAATATCAGGGGAAGCCTGTGAAACCTGCTGATATTGATTATTACAACAGCAGTAAAAGTATTCCAATGAGTACTGAGAACAATGTATATATATTTATAAAAACTGACTTAAAAAAAAAGATAAATAATAAAAAAATAAAAGTAAAAACATACATGTATGAAATTTTAATCTATATTTTTAGAGTTAATACATTGTAACACCTGCCTCTGTTCTCAAGCTAGAGTAACTTCTTGGTTGAAAAAATCTCAATGTGTGTGGTTAATTTCTATCCTGACAAAATGAAGGTGAACACATGTCCTTTGGTTTGATGGCTTACTCTCATGTCATTCTTACTGGGTCAGAGACTTTGAATAGAAATGGATGTCTATGTCGCATCGCATTTATAGCCCAAAAAAACAGGAAGTCATTGACTAATTGAAGGTTTCTAGACACTTCGATAAACTTAAAAAGTAAAGTAAAAAACTTGACAATGTGCTTTAACTATGTTAACTTTATATCTATTTGTGAGTGTGAACACTTGTGCGTCCAGTAATTTTGATTAAAAATAAATATTTCATAGCATTTTTTTCCCTTTAGTCACTCTTCTTATGCAAATGCATTAAAAGATACATTTATTTCATGCCTTCTACACATATTTACCAGGGCTGCCAATACTGTCTCAGAGTGCTATGTTCTGGTCTAGATTCGAATGTTTTCCCATACTTCTCCACCTCCAGCGTATCTGATCTGGCTACATAATTAGATGGGATGAAGCCCTCTTGATCAGTGAGAAGTGATTTAGCCAGCCACCATTCTCCACTCCTACAAATACAATATGTGACACAAATCACTTTAGTTTAACTGGGAGAAATGCGGAGCAGCAAACTTGGTGAATTTTGAGACCGGAACGACACTTACTCTTGTAAAACTTTGAGCTTGTCTCCTTTCTTGAAAGAAAGATCGCTGTCATTGGTCGCTTTGAAGTCATGCAGTGCTATAAACACGGTTTCATCTGAAAAAAACAAAGAGCGATAATTGTTTCTTTCTCGTCATGCTCCTTAAATCTTTGTATAATTTCACTACCCGCTTTTTGACAGAGCTCTATATTATAAATCAATGCATTTTTTTATTGTCATATGAGTCTGTTCCTTTTTCATATGTAACACACATCCTCTTTGAATTCTGCCGTGATGCTAAAACTACCTTCTTTTGCATGCAGCCCTACTTATCTTATTCCCAGAAGAGAACGAAGGAAATTAAGCTGCGATTTTAATCACGCAGAGTAGCTTCGTCCTCCACACACTAATGTTTTGTTGACCGCATAAATGCAGAAAGTTAGTTGCAAGGGAAAATTGAAGCAATTACCATTAGATGAATAGGTGTTTGCTTTGTGTTCCTAAAACAGAGAAAAAATATTGCCATCAATATTTACGCATGCAGTTATATTAACTATCGATGGTGTACTGAGCAGACAAAATGTATCACTTAAGTATTTCACTTACTGTGCGGTTTGATGAGTGGCCTGTCTTGGGGTTCTTTACTTTGTAAAATGAATTCTCATCTTTTACGTCTTTTTGGCCACTGCAAGCGCAGCCCATCCTGTGAATGTAAAAGAAAAGTACATAAGCTGAGCTGTATGCCATCCACAACATGCAAAGATCACGTGCATCAATAACTGCTTAGTACTGTGACAGCAGCATCCAAATGAAAACAAAAACTGATGGAACATCTTTTTCTTTACCTGATTAAACTGATGAGCTTTCTGATTTTCAGTCTCCACTCCTCCCACTGCAGGCCCACGTCTCTGACCTCATGCCCAGTCTGAAAAAAAAAAAAATTATTCGAAGCTGCTGCGTTTTTTGTTTTTTTCCCCTTTTTGTACCAACTATCTTTGGTTTTCTTTCTTTGCAAATGGTCTTCTAATGAAACCAAACAATTCTGGAAAGAGGAAGTTGACAACATTTCTGCACCTTTACTGGGTAGCACTTTATCAATGTGCATCTGTCATGTTTGCGATAAAAATAGAGACAAGTTAAAATGCAAAGAACCGATTAAGAAGCTGATTCAGAAATCTACATTTAACTCTCCTTATCTATACTAAAGTCACATTTTGTTCCACACATATTTTTCAGAGTATTCAACACATTAAAATTATAATTTATGCTATTGACATGTTCAAACCATCAAAAATTCAAAAATTGTTCCATTGTTTTATTTCCATTAAATTGCATGTATAACTTTCTAGCTTGTCTTCTGAAAAGATTCTCTCTTTGCTGCGCAAGAAAAATTTTATAGCTTAACTTGCAAATGAGCATAAATAGCAACCCTTGTGCCCAGCAGAGAATTAACACTAAACATTACTGCCTCCGCTGTATCATAAAATCTTTGATGAACGTTACCTCAAAAATTATAACTTTAAATTTGTTTTCAGGAAAAAAAGATATTTTTCTTCAATTTGGTTGCTGATACTAACACACAGATTCGTTTGCAACGTTTTAGAAGTAAAACCACTAATTAAATGGAAGAACCACAACAACTTTGTTTAACATTTATACAAACATTAGTACAAATATTTTACCTTCAACATATTTTCCTTTCAAATTCTTGCCATAATTAGATAATTTGACCACCTCTATCAATTTCTTTTTCCCGAGGAAAACATTTTGTTGCATTATCTGTTGTAATTATTAACACAAATGCATGTGGTGCGCTTCTTTATAATATATCTATAACAGTAATTCTAACAGATGATATATATGTCTTTTTATTTAAGGAAAATAATAACACAGGAGGTATTTACCTGCAGTTTGTCCTCAGAAGTAACTCAGTTGCAAAATGTCTTGAGTTTCCTCAGTGAAAACAGACTGCTTGTCAGTGTGTCACTCTCACTCGCTCACTCGCTCACCCTGGTTTAGAAAGTTTCTCTCTCTCTGTCTGTCTCTCTCTCTCTTGCTCTGTCTGTGTTTCTCTCTCTTTTTCTCACACAGAGGAATCAGACCTCCCTGAGGGTTCGTAGTGCAGAGTTTACTGGAAAAAGCCAATGGCATAGGTTGGCCTGTAATTATCTCCCTACTTCTTAAAAACACTTATTAGCCCTTTAGCCTCTAAATTAATACAACAGTATTCATCCTCAGTTACAGCATTCACAAAGTTTTATTTTTCAAGGTGTATCAAGTTTTGCTCCAAATCATCTTAATGTCCTTGTACCTAAATGTTATATCTGTTGTGGAAAACAAAACAGCTAGTTGGTCTTAACTTTAGGTGTGGTGAGTAAAATAGGCTGTAAGGTTTCCATGACACATTTCTCAGTTCCTCTAGTGGTCTGCGTTCTTTTTTTTTTTTTTATCTCTACAGCACATCTCATAAGCCAAGCAGAGCGTATACGTTTACATGCTACCACTGTTTATTTGTTTGGGGAGAAAATAGGGAAGTACATCTGTCTTTATTTGACTGGTTTATTTATTTATTTTTTATCACTATTAATAGTGGTAAATTATTAAAATAAAGTCTTAGCATCACTGACGATCGCGATTATAAGAATATGCACTATGTCATTGAATCCTTTTTCACTTTAGGTAAATGAGGAACATGATCCTGAACAGAAAATATTTAGTATAAAATAATAATAATAATAATAATAAACACTTTAGCAGTTTTAAAGTAACGGTCTTCAAAAATCTCTCATATCATTGTGAAGAAAATCTTCCAATTTTAGACAATTCCTTGGAAACCCTATTTCAGCTTCTTTGATATGATTGAGTGAGAGTGTTTGTGGTTGCTGTCCTGATTCATTAGTTATATTTGGTCACGGTGTAAAATATTTTTTGAGGATACTGTAGAGGACAGATGAGGTATTTGTGGTCGCAACACACCGAGATCTCTAGAGACGTTCTCGATCATCACACCCCCATTTCAGGGCTGAATTGGTGGTCTGGTGTTTCTGCGTTTTGTTCTGTTCACAGCTTCTGGCTGTAAACAGTTATATAAACATGACTTGATGTGATCAACTGTAAAGTGGAAGTAAATAAACAAATCGTTTTTTAAAAAAAAAAGAAGATCAAATAAAAAAATCTGAAAAGTGTGGCACACATTTCTATTCAGTCTCTGCTGAGTTAGCATACTACAGCAGGACTGAAACATTTGCTTATTCTGTTTTGCAAAACAGTCACCATGGACAGAAAGTCAATGAAGTCCAAATAATAGTCTTGTCACAGATTCTCAAATAGATTAAAGTTTGAGTTTTAGTTGGATCATTCTAAAATTTTAACTTCTTGAAATACAAAGCATAGCCTCTCTGGTTGCATGTTTAGGGCTATTGTCCTGTGGCCTTGGATTCGTTCTTGTGCCTGCTCAAGAAATAGTTTCTCACGCCATGATACAACCACCATCGTACTTTCGTAATGTTCAGAGAGACAGATGTGCAATGTTTGTTTTCATCCATATTTAAATTTATGCAGAGACCAAAAAAGTCCTGAGCACCTCCTTCCCCCGAATGGCTCGTCGCAAACTGAGAATAGAACTTCATTTGACTTTCTTTTAATTCTTCTCACCATCCTTGCATATTGGCCAGATTTTAAGAGTTCATAAAATTGTCTTGTCACCAGATTCTCCTGCATCACTGGTGCATCGCCTCCAGATTTGCCACGCGCCTCTATGAAGTCCGTAGAGGTCCAGATTTAGTGGACAATCGTATCTTGGTGGGTCAAAGTTTAACCCACCATTAATTTAACAGGACTCTGTGAGACATTGCTGCATAATCTAACCATTCTTTACATTCCTCCACAACTTAATCTTTGCTGAATATTCCAATTTTTGCTTAAAAAATACTTAATGCAATGTGATTTCACAGTAAGTTGTGTTCTGCTGACCTTGAGCATTGAGACAGTGATAGGTTCGGGCTTAGATTTTGGTAAATGATGTTGAATTGATTTTTTTTGAAGACCTAATCAGAACACAATATGTATCCCTCCAACCCTGAAAGACAGTTTTGTGAATTTTAAAAGATTATGTCTACCTTTTATTCTCAACTGTAATTTGTTATGCCGAGGATGAACAGGTCAATTACTGTTCATCCCTCATTTGTATAAGGTATTCGTTTGTAGTTGCTGTAGTTGCTCAGTTTTGACACCAGGGGGTGTAAACACTCGTGTTATAATCTAAGACGCTCCTGAAAGGCCGTTGCCTTTTTCATCACCTTTCAACAAGTCCTTCCTGAAATCATTCAGTTTCTATTCATAACCAACCTTTACTGTGACCTCATACAGAAAGATGACTCTATGAGTTTTGGCCTTTAGGGATTTTTATTGTGTTTTGCTTTTACATCTGTATACAGGGGAGCCAGGAGGGGAGGGGAGAGTGTGCAGATGTTAATGTAGTTGCAAAGTCAAATTATAGAAGAAAAATCCAAACCGGTGAGTGGTCAATCTATCAAACTGTAACAATGCTTTGGTTTTCCCACTCCATAGTCGCTAACCAGCTCTTTCCTTTTCTCACCACGCAATACACAGAGGAGGGAATTCTCCCGTCTTCTTCATTGATACATAACACCAGCATGTCCTGGTGGTATGTGCTTATTATTGGTAGCTTACTGTGGAAAGTTGTTGAGAGTGACTCAGAGAGCCTTGTGAGGAAGATATCATTCACATTATACTGTAACCTGTAAGTGCGCGGGTGAATAAATCTTACAGCACTGGAAGTGTTTGTTTCCTATGGGGGGGCTTATTGCAACATGCAACATGGAGATATTACTCTCTGGGCAACACTTCACAGGTTTTTGTTTGGACCACCTGTGCTGTGCGTGGGGACTGTGCAGTGCTGCAGTTCTCTGACGGAACAACACACACATACACTGAAACACAGACACACAAAGGGGCTGCAGGTGCATGGTGAGTGTTATTGAGTGTGTCCTGGTTTTTAACTGTTGTTCCTCTTTAAACTCCTTTCTTCTAGTTTTTCCATCAGCCCTTGTTTTCTTCCCAGGGCTTGGCGGATGCTTGTGTACGGCTCTGTTGGGGTCCCCAGACATTGCATCCTGCCTGCAGAAGGGTCATAAGTGGCCCCACAGGATAACCTGAACAACAGTGGGAAAGAAAGGGAGCGTGGGTCTTTTCTGGTTATGTAGTTCTGACCAACTCTGTGCCAAAAGCATATATATGCTGCCAACTGCTGCTTTCCCATTATTATTGTGAGTGTGCACTGTATGAAAATGAAAATGTCTCTTGTGTGCCCTTGTTGGTATTGCATGTGTGTGCATGCGTGTGTGGGGGAGTGTGTGTGTGTGTGTGTGTGTGTGGCCTTGTATTTGATACAGTGTAAGGACCATTTTTCAAACAAATACGATGTTGTGAGGACTGCCCTGGCTCAGGGCCCTAGAAGAACAGGTGCTATTATTGGGTTAGGGTTTAAGTTTAGGACTAAGGTTAAAGTTAGGGTTGGGAAAATACTGGTAATGGTAATGGTTAGGTTTAAAATAAATGTCATGGTTAGGTGATAGGAATGAGTGAAACATTAATGGAAGTCAAAGCAAAGAAGATTGAAAGACATACTTATGTGTGTGTGTATGCAAAATTGTGCAAAATTAAACATTTAAAGGAAGGTATGCAGTTGTTTAGTTTAGCCAAGATGTGATTTATTCATGCACGCTCTTGCAAGCACACAGAAACACACCGTACTTAATTATGTATCCCCTCTGTATCACAAGAGGCCCCCTTTTGACTTCCTGTCTGTGTGGGAACCACTTCTATCCTCTGTCACACATGAAGTGAGAAGACTTGTTTTTCTATTTGCCATAAAAAGACAAGGTGATGAACAATAAATGCAACGATCCACCTCCACTGCTCAATGAACACACAGCATTGCTGTCCCTAGAGAGAGACATTCAGACAAACCTAATTGTCCTTCAATATAATATCAGCAGCTGTTTTGCAGCATGCTTTAATGTGAAATTTATATCAGATTTAGGAAACAACACAACCAATCTGCAATCAATACAAATTGGTCATTGAAATAAATTATATGAAGTGAAGACAAATGTCCAGAGAAATAAATGTAGATAATAAGCTTTCTGTAAAATTTGGCATAAAAGTTTTTCTTGCTAACGACAGTAATCAAGACTTCTACTATAGAAAATCTGGTTGATTTGGCATGATTTTGACCCATCCCATTGTCTTTTTGAAAAATTCACTCATTTTGCTCTGTGAGGTGGAAGCTTGACTGGAGACAGCAACTCCAAGGAGGAGTTTTGGCTGCGATTTGTGGGAGCAAATTTTTAGGCACCTTCAAATAGCAGCTATGGAGAATACAAGGAATCCTCAAACATGCATGAATGAACCAAAGCAACACTCCAAGAATGTTTTTGACGAGGGTATCCCATGTTCACATGATCTAAACAGGGCCATTGCTAACCAATTGTAGTGTCCTTTTGTATTTACATTTATTGATGACTTCGAAAGATTTTCTTCCATTTACTTCACCTCATTGCAAATAATTTCATTTATGAACTGATTTTTATGTATGTTTAATTTTTACTCAATAGGCCGTTGATAATACTTATTATAAGATCATGTCATCTATTCAGATTAATGTCCAGTTTGTGTTTTGCATTTCTCCACAGTGTACTTCAGAGTTGAAAAGAGATGTTGAAACTTGGCTAGAAACATTTATGCTGTTGGACTCTGCAGCACCATAGCTGGAAGCACGTCTCTGCAGCTGCTCTGCAGGCAAGTTGCTCTGAGGTAAACATGGCTGCGGGAAAGCCCCATATTATTGTGCTCCGGATGACGTTCCTCACTCTTCCAGTGTTTACTGTGGAAATTACTGCCAACGGCCAGCGAGCAGGTGCTTCCTCAGAAACTCTTTGCTTATCCAAAAGATTTGAA